GGTTCCCACAATGTGGGAGACTGGAGGGCTTACAATGCCATGTTGTCTGAGCAGGCAGTAATATGCACCAGGTCCAATACACAGAATGAAGCAAGAAGGAGCTTCAAGTTCGAGAGAACTTTAGAAAATTCTTAGTGGCCATCAAATAACAAAGCTCATCTTATAAACCTCATTAAAAAATTGTCTTATAAGGGTATGTAAACCCTTAATTTGTTGAAGAAAACACTGATCCTTAATTGGAGGCAAGAAAAGGACAGCTTCTTACCATTCTGAAGTTTAGGGTTGAGTTGCCATACTATCTCACCAGATTGGCATAAAATGATCCACTAGCATGAGCCTTAGAACTGCAACCTTTTCCTCTACTATGTATGTAAATCTCTCTCCTTGCTCCCACCCATGCATGACTAGGGTCAATGCAAAGGCTTAAAGGTAATGCTATCTCCGCTCCAGGCACAAACCCGAGTGTACCTAAGAGTATGGGCGCTTCAGCCAGGCTGAGTTTAAGTCCTGCCCACGTGCCCACTGCCCCAGCCACTTCCTAGCTAAATAAATAGACAAATTACTCTAGCTTCTCATCCAGAGTTGAGAATGTGTAGTTGAGAATATATACTAGTAGTATTAGATAATTTAATCTTTCTTGATACTAAGAACAAAATGAGACAATAGCTTCTTACAAGTTAGTTGTAATGTGGAATCTGAACCATACCAATAAAGTTTTCATACTCTAACACAGAGGTCGGCAAACTGCAGCTAGCGAGCCACATGCGGCTCTCTGGCCCCTTGAGTGTGGCTCTTCCACAAAATACCACTTGCGGGCGCGCATATACAGTGTGATTAAAACTTCGTGGCCCATGGGCAGAAGTTGGTTTTCAGCCTGGGCGAGTCTATTTTGAAGGGGCGTTAGAACACTTAAGGGGCCAAAGAGCTTCATTTGGCTCGCAAGCTGGTTTGCCAACAACTGCTCTTACATTAAAATCCATTGGTCTTTATTATACTTACAACAACTATTTACCCAGGCAGGATTTTCTAACATTGCACATTGGAAAATATCATTCACCAGGTGATGCAGATCTTCAAAATGTTATATTCAAAAACCCATTTATGAGAAAAGTTAAAAAACAAACAAAAAAAACACCTGTTTTTATTAGGATGAGAGACAGAAACATGGAGAAACATATATCAATATCTACTGGCTACCTCCTGCACACCCCCTGCTGGGAATCGAGCCCACAACCTGGGTATGTGCCCTGACCAGGAGTTAAACCTGCGACCTCCTGGTGCATGAGCTGATGTTCAACCACTGAGCCACACTGCCAGGGCAAGAAAAGTCTTTAAGTATTGAGAAAATGTCAAGTTCACAATGATGAATACAAGTTTGCCAAAACTCTAATTTTTACTTGAAAGCCTCAATTTTCTTACTTGCAACAGATATATCAGGTTCTAACGGCAGGCTAACTTTGTTCAGTTTTGAGGAATGTCTACTAAATACCATAGACTTAATGTTATTTTTATGTTCAAGTAAAAATGGTATTCTGTGGGAGAATAAAAAAGCAGATACTTCAGACTCCAAGTGAAATAATTACATTTTGCAAAATACACATCATGATTTGGTATGCAGAACTTATACATAATTCCCACTTGGTCATTCCAATGATTAAAGCCATGTACTCGGCCGGTTGATATAAAAATAAATTGGAATAGTTCCATCAGATACTCTGAAATGAAATTGCCATTAAAAAACATTCAGATACACGGCCATGAAAATGGCACAGTACTACCAGTAGTGTGTGCTGTGATGCCTTTACATGTGTGTGAAGGATCTGTGTTTGTTTTTCTGTGTAAATATGTCAGTACCATCTGTTGAAAACAACTTGAAAATGGCTTATCTTTTATAGATATTAGATTCAATTTGCTAATATTTTCAGAATTTTTGTTTGTGGACTACAGCCCTATAATTTTGTTTTGTAATGTCTTGGTCTAGTTTTTGTATTAGAATGACACTGCTCTCACAAAACAAGCTGGAGATATTCCCTCTCCATGTTTTCTATAAGACTGTGTAACACTGATGTTATTTCTTCCTTCAATGGTAAAATTTACAAGTAAAACCATATAATACTGGAGTTTTCTTTGTGGGAAGATAATTTCAACTGCATTAACAGATGTGAGGCTAGCCAGGTTTTCTATCCTTGTGCCAGTTTTGGTGAGTTTTATTTTCCTAATAGTTTTTCTATCTTGTCCAAATTATTGAATTTATTGGCATAAAAAATGGTCAGGATTTTGTATGCTTTTAATTTAGGTAGGATCCATAGTGGCAACTCTAACTTCATTCCTGATACTAGTGATTTCTAATCCCTCTGGTTTACTTGGCCTAATTAGAAATATTCCAATTTTGTTGCTCTTTTGAGGACTAGATATTGGTTTCATTGATTTTTTCCCCCCCCTCCTTTGTTTTTGTTTTACATGTTGTTGATTTCTACCCTTTATTTGATTTCCATCTATTTAATTTGGGTTTACTTTGTTCTTATCTTAAAGATAGAGCTTAAAATAGAACCTTAGACCATTGAATTTGTACCTCTTTGTTTTCTAAGAGAAGCATTTAAATCTATGATTTTCTGATTTTTTTAAAAAAATTAAAATGATATACCCTGATCATAACAAAATTAAACTAACAATCAGTTAAAAAAAAAACTACCTGGAAAACTCCCATTATAATGGAAAGTTAAATAAACTCCAAAAAATTAAAAACATTTCACAATTCATTACCCTGGAACTAAACAAAGGCTGAAAGAAGAAGAGAAAAAGAAAAGAAAAAAAAAAAGCCTACAGACCGATGCCACTCATGGAAACATGAAAGTGTCATGACCAAATTATGAGCAAATTGAATCCAACAATACATAAAAAGAACTATACAATAGGAGCATGTGGGGATTAATTATTCCAGGGACACAAGGCTGGTTTAATAGTAAGAAATTAAGCAAGCTATTTCATAATAGTAACAGGCTATAAAGAAGTTACATGATAAAAAAAAATAAAACTGCCGACTGAAGCTAACATGACCAGGAACCCCACCATTGGAAGAGGGATTCTCAAGTCTGTTTTTTGCACTTGTTGTTAGTGTACTTGAAATGCTAAAACAAGTCTAACTCTGCTCAATTCAGTTTCCTCAATTGTAATCCTGACACAGTACTACCTCACTGGGCCATTAATAGGTTAAAAATGAAAATATGTGCATGTGAGAATAGTGTCTAATGTGTAGATAGAACTCAATAAACATTACTCACTCATATAATTGCGGATTTGTGAAATAATTCCACTTACTGTCCTCTCTCTAATCAAAGAATAAAAACATTACTCACAAAAATTTAATGTTTGAGGATTTTCATCATAGAGCATATGACAAAAATTAGGAAAGTAAACAAAGATAATTTGTAGCAAAGGACAGAAAATTAGTACATATGGCAAAAATACTCCACATAGGTTATTTACACAATACTAGTTAAATAACAATGAAGTGCCATTTTATAACTAGTAAGTCACAAGTATTAAAATTAACAGCCTTGCTGTCTAGGTTGTGGCCAACAGGTATACTATACCGTGACAGTGTAAACTGTTTTTGGCAAACAATTTGCAATGCATTTGGGAGAAAATAATTTTCTTATGTCTGTTCTATGTGATATTGGGCTTCCTGTAACAGCAGTTACTCCCCTCGCCTGCCACAGCAGTCAGGACTAACTCCAGATTCAACCCTTTCTAAGGTATCCCATAATACCAATTACCTGTGTGCTATCTGACATGCTCACATATGCATAAAAATGATGAAAAATATTAAACCCATGGACAATAAGGATGAGGATATATTAGGGAAAGGAAAAACAAACAAACAAAGGAATTAGAACTGAAATATGAAGGGGTGGGATCAAAATAAGTACCCAAGATTAAAGGAGATCATGTCAGAGCTTTTTATGATTCAGAGTTTGGAGACACTGGTGATATTTACCTAGAGACACTAACTTAGGTTGTTTGTCAGGACAATTTTTTGAGTTCTTAAAGAAACACCATCCTTTTGAACTGGAGAGTAGAAGACACTAAGAAACAATCAAATTTTGAGTTCTTTTGGTTAAACGGATGGATCTAATTTACTTACAAATATATTAGACTGAAGAAAAAGTCAAATTTCATTTGGTCAGTTGGCTTCTGCATTCATATCCACCAATAAGCTTGTTATTGACTAGTTTATGAAAAGGCTGACAGAAATATTGGGAGACTTCAGATAAACTTGCACCAGAGAGCAGTATGCAATATATCTTTCTCCTAAACTTCTACTGAAATATTTATAAAGATTTTTTTTTTAAATTACGCATGTACAGATCAATTACTGAGCATTTACAAACATGATATTCAAACATCACAAAATGGGAAATAGGTCTTGATTTCTGTCATTGAGTCTGAGTCGGGGATCTAGCATTATTTTCTCAAGGAATAACCACAAATTGGTCAGAATGTGCCTAACGCCTTGCTCCGGGTTCCCGTTGTTGGTCCAGCTCCTTGCTCCTTAATTCTTCCTTACCTACTAATTTTATTATCAACAGAAAACACATGAATATTATCTTAGGAATTAAACTAAAAGCTGATTATCAGCGATATTTATTCCATAATCTGTTACCTGTTTCTTTGTATTTTTGCTTTTACAAACAGAATTTCCCCCAAACAGGTATCTCAGGCTCCCTAATCTACAAGACTTGTGTAAGAAAAATAATTGATGACATGCATAAAATCACAATCACAGTAATTGGACCATAGTTAAACTAATTAAGAAAAGAGGAATCATGTTCACTTATAAGTGATTATATAAGGGAAGAGAAAATATGGATCAAGTAACAAAATAAAATAACATTATATCTTTATATAAACAAAGATAAATCCCAGGTTCTTAAAAAGTCTGTTTAAAAAAGCAGGTCAAGGTGAAGGAATAAATTCATCCTTTTCGCTTCCACGTGTGCTCACTTGGGTCCTTTTGCCTTGGCCTTGGTTTCCTTTGGGACCTTTCCATTCTGACATTGAGTAAATCTGGCTACTGTAGAAACACCATCCACAAACTTGGTTTTGAAAAGGACGTTTGCATTGTTGAACATACCTTCCTTTAGAGACACCACAATGAACTTAAGAGAAATGGGGAAAAACAAAAGATAATTTGGAGATAGTTTGATGGTTTAAACTCATACCCTCAAATGTAGGTAACAACCAATTATAATATTAGACATCTAAGTATATTCTAGCTTTTCATATTCGTTTTAAGAGTCTTCTTAATTTTACCTTGATGGCTTCATTATCCAGGTTTATATTTCCTGCTGCTTGACAGCTTGTTGGTCATCTGTAGCTGACAAACTATTTTGTTGTTAGCTCTAAATGCCCTAGTGAAATATTTTTCTCTGGGACATTGAATAATGTCAAGGTTTGAAGTTCCTACTAGCTCAAATGGAACATTTATATTTGTATAATTAATATTGATAGGTACCAATTCACTGTTGTCCGCAAATAGCTGCCATAACAATAGTCTGATAACTACACTAAGTGAACACCTGAGCTATATAATGCATGATCTATAAACCATATGTGTCAGCCCCAGTTCAACACAAACAGTTCTTAACTTAAAGGGGCTGCCTCTACTTTCTAGCCAGGAGAATGAAGAGTACCCTACCAAGTGCCACATGATGTTCTGATACGAAGGTATACATCTCTGAAACATGTTTGTTCTGACTGCATCTTTGGCAACTATTTAGAAAAATGATTGCATTTAACCCTAAATTCCTAACTAGGAACATATTAGATTCTCCTTCATGCTACAGCAATTGTAATGTCTGGCTTTTTCTTTAATAGGAGACCAAACTCTTTCATTCTAAACCCATGTGAATATTAATAAATATTTAAAGAAATATACAATGCTTTAGTATTTCTCAATCTCAAATATCTTATTAATGGTGACCACTACTAAAGAACAGTTTTAGAAAAACAAATACTAATATTAAGACTTTATTTATGCTTTTGAAATGAAGACTTTCTGTCTGGTTCTTACCTGAGAATGTGTGAAATGAGTACGCAGCATCTGTCCAATGTTCTGGGTGTGAGAAAGATCCAAGGCTGCATCGACCTCATCCAGGATGTAAATTGGAGCAGGTTTGAAGAGGAGCATGGACAATATTAATGACAAAGCCACCAAAGACCTAAGAAAAGTGTACAGAAAGCTGTCAAAACTTGATTTTTACCACTTTTTACCAAAGAACTGAAACAAATCCGCTCTGCTGTTATTATGAAAAATACAGATTTAGCTAAGAGATAAATGCATAGGTGGCAAATGAGTGAGAGCTATATACACTTGTTAAGTAACAGCTACTGTCTTGGTAATAGTGTAACTAGTTCAGGTGCCCTCTTTCAAACTTTTACTATATATGTATCCATGTGCATACATAAACTCTCCATTTTTTTATTGGCACTATTTGAGTAAGTTGAATAGATTATGGCCCATTACTCTAAATACTTCACAGTGCCAGAGGGTTAAGCAATCCTTATGGGATGGTTAATTCTGTCAACTTGATTGAATCACAGGATGCCCATGTGTCTGGCTAAACATATTTCTGGATGAAATTAGCATTTGAATAGGAACTCAGTAAAGCAGTCCGCCCACCACAATGTGGGTGGACAGCAGTCAGTCCGCTGAGGGCCTGAATGGTAAAAAGGTAGAGGAAAGAATTCTTCCCTCCCTCTCAACTTGAGTTGGGACATGAATATTTCTGCCCTGGGTGCTCCTGATTCTCAGGTCTTCACACTCAGACTGAAATACTATTGGCTTTCTTGAGTCTCTTCATCTATACTAATAAAAAGGTAATATGCTAATTATATTGGGAGACCTTCTGGACAAAGCCATGGTGGCAGGGCTGAAGCAGAGGCAGCTAGGGGTGATAAGGCCAAGAGGAGAGAGCAGTTGGGGGCGAGCAGGTCAGTGGTAGGGGGATAGTTGGGGGCAAGCAGGCTGGCAGGCAGAGTGGTTAGGGGCGATCAGGCAGGCAGGCAAATGGTTAGGAGCCAGCTGTCTCAGCCTGCGAGAGGGATGTCTGACTGCCGGTTTGGGTAAGTCCAATCTGGCAGTTGGACATTCATCAAGGGACACCAGATTGGACAGGGTGCAGGCTGGGCTGAGGGACACTCTCTCTCTCCCCCAATGCATGAATTTCACGTACCAGGCCGCTAGTATATATATAATCTATTTAAAATTTGTTCTTAAGATTCTGCAGCTTCTTTTAAAGTTCTCTTCTAGCTAACTCCCTTTAACTGGTAGCTATTTTCATTCTAATCTGATATAAAGAACTGTAATAATTTGTATTTTAATACAGAATGTAATTATTCAACATTAGAAAATTACAAGAGAATGTGTAACACACTTTTTCTATAATATCAAATATCCCCTATATGCAGCACTTGAATGAGTTATCACTTTTTTGCTTACTGTATTCCAATAGGTATTTATTAAGAAACAGGTGGGGGTGGGGGGAAAGTGTGCACAAGCAGAGGGGGGTCCAGGAGGTGAAACCAAAATGTCTAGCAAAGAAAATGAATGAAATGGTACAATAAACAAGTAACAGAGTTAAATGTGCCTCTATAGCAGGTAGTTGAGGTCACTCCAACAACCTAAAATTATTTTCCATTTGGTTCCTCTGTGCCAAATTTTAAGGCACTGAGTTTTAAACTTACACATTCAGGAAGAGGGAAAAAACACACATCAAGAGTTAAACTACTTTGCTGAATAGTGGTATAGTTACAAATAATTTTATTCTCATCTTAATAAAGGAAATAATTTTTAGGTCCCAATAACAAAGTAAACATTCATTTTAAATTTTCCTCAAAATATTTTCTAGGACCTTAGATACTAGTCATCTAAATGTTTTTCCAAACTGTGAAATTCAATTTTGGTTGACAGGCAATAGAAAAAAAAATGAATTTTATCAATAATGAAAAATAGAGAATGGATTGCTATTTTAATAAAATGACAAAGGATTTCATAAGGAAATTAACGGACCAGGTCTTAGTATTTTCCATGTACAAAAGAGTAACATGGCATTATGGGGCATGTAAAAATAATTCAAGAACTATGTACTGTACCTCTTCCAAAAGAAATATTAATAACCATCTTCAATTATATAAACAATCACAATTTTGTCTTATGGAGTTTTATTTTTTTTTACAGAGAGGAAGGGAGAGAGTTAGAAACATCCATGAGAGAGAAACATTGATCAGCCACCTCCTGCACACCACCAACTGGGGATGTAGCTGCAACCCAGGTTCATGCCCCTGACTGGAATCAAACCTGGGACCTTTCAGTCCGCAGGCTGACGCTCTATTCACTGAACCAAAAATGGTTTCAGCTTAGGGAGTTTTAATAACTTGGTTCTCCACAGGTAAGGAGTCAGGCCATATGACTTTCAATTTCTCTTGGTACACTGATTGTCTGAAGGTCTCACTGTCTATCCACTACCATTTTCCTTTCACCTCAGAACATCCTTAACCTGTATAGTTCTATTGGGCTCAAATTCTTATTTACATTTCTCTCATCACATTCTTTTTTTTTTTTTTTTTTTAAATAATTTTTGGAAATGGTTAATATAACTATTTACCTTCCTAATCTGCTAGTTTTATTGACTATCATTTCCAGGTCTGTTTCCACTGACTGATTTTTCTCTAGGGCAGTGGTAGGCAAACTGCGGCTATTGACTAATGAGTTTGCTAACCACTGCTTTAGGGTATGAATCACATTTTTTTTTAATATCTACCCAAAAACTTTTATTATATGCTGCACACTGTTATGTTGTTCAGTTTCACTTTTGTTGTCTTTAAAGAATGCTGGAGCTTGTGGCCAGTTAACTCAGTAGTTAGAGCGTGGTGCTAATAAAGAGTGTTGGCCCTTGTTCTGAGAGTCACTTAAGTTACATGCAGATCAGCTTTACTCTTCAAGGCCTGCAATGAACTTTGCTAAGGTGCATCTATAGTAGCCTTCACTTCAGAGATAATATAGACTTAATTCTAATCCTTGTTACTGCATTTAGTGAGACTACTGGGCTTTGTGGGAATTTCTCACTGCTGCATTCCAGAAATTGCTCCCAGGAAGAAAGCTGAGATAAACGTAGGGGCTTTTAAGGTGGAAAACAGGACTTTCATTTCCTTTCTCTCAGGCACATACTCCTGGACTACTCATCTAAAAATAATTGTTTTTCATCTATTTTATCTAGTTGATTATTCTTACATTTTTGCCTACCATTTTAATAAAATGTTTTATCTAAAATGTGTAGTCCAAGCATGTCTAACTCGCAGCAGGCAGATAGTTTTACATAACAGGCTCCTTAAAGTCTATACGCAAAGAGAGTTAAAGATGCAAACTGAAATAAAAGCGGTAGGCATGGCGAAACCGGTTTGGCTCAGTGGTAGAGCGTCGGTCTGCGGACTGAAAGGTCCCGGGTTTGATTCCGGTCAAGGGCATGTATGTTGGTTGCGGGCACATCCCTAGTAGGGGGTGTGCAAGAGGCATCTGGTCGATGTTTCTCTCTCATTGACGTTTCTAGCTCTCTATCTCTTTCCCTTCCTCTCTGTAAAAAAATCAATAAAAAAAAAAAAATAATAAATATAAAAGTGGTAGGCAATGAGATGATGGGTAATAATAAAATAAGAGTAATTAGTAATTATAATGTACCTGAGGGATTACTCACCTCTGACCACCACTAAGTTCAGTTAAATTTTCTTTCCACGTATTTCCTAAGGCAACCTTGAACTCCAGACCATCCAACACAGTTTGCCCCTCTGGTGGTGCAAGCATAGCATTAGCACCAGGCAAAAGAGTAGAAAATATAGACCCAAAGTCCTTGTTCACCTAGGGGGAGGGAAAAAGATTAAAATATCAATGTTGACAGGTGTATTTGCAACCCAACAATGCATTCTGTTGTTTATTACTCTAATTAGGGTTAGCAAAATATGGCACATTTGACAAATCTAGCAATATCCATTCAATTACATATTTTCTCTGTCTGCAAGCACTAAAACAATGGAGATATTAGTTGCAACAGAGACTATTTGGCTCATACACATACAAAAAGTGTATGTCCCTTTACAGAAATAGTTTATTGAACCCTGTTCTAACTTCCAGAGGGACCTTCAACTCGACCCTGAAGTTCTGGTAGTTCTGTGGGCTATCTATCATACAGGAGGAATCCTGAGACACATGACTGTACAACATAGATTCAACTCGTGGTTAGTGAAGCAAAAATAAAACTAAATCTTTTTGCCACAAAATATTCTCTTATAAACCTTATTTTCTGTTGAATGGTATGGTAAGATGGGCCTGTGGTTATCAGCTAACCTGAAAAAGAGGCATGAAATCAAACCACCAGATCTGCTCAAAGTGTTGAATGGTTCTTTCTATGCTTTTTCTCATAGCTAGTGAAGTTGAGGGGGCAAGGAATAGAAATAGTCTTCGAATTCAAGACAAAGAGGCTAAAGAAGCTGTTTGGCCTATCTTCATCAAGGCACAGTAGGAGATTAGAGAGATTTAGGGCCAATAGGGTAGCTTATAATTGGGTAATTTTTGTGCATACACACTTAATGATTTGAGAATTTGGCCATCTGTTCTCAAAGACATGACTAATGACCTTAGAGAGTTCAGACAAATTTGAGGGTGTATACACTCACACACACACATGGTCTTGGCACCCAGGTTCTCTAGGGAAATCTCCAAATTCAAATAAAGGCAAATATATTTCTCATGAGTATTTTTAGTAATAAGGAAATCTGAGACACAATAGTGCTCCTGAATGTAGATTTACTAAGAATGCATATTTTAAGAGCAACTGTACACATGCTAAATAATAATCTACATGAGAGTGGAAATAAATGAAAATCCTTAAATCTTCCAAAGTTTCATAAAACAAATACGGTAATTGGGATTTTTAAATTAAGAGTCCAGTAAAAGAGAATATCAAACTTCCTTGTTTACTGCCCTGTTCTTAAAGAACAAGGGTGATAGTAGTTAGGAATAAAAGGCAGTTTTAACTTAGGTACTAATTTAGGTACTAATTTAGAAAAAAGAAATCCCCATCTTTCAGTTTTGTTTTTACCTTTTGGGTATATGATCTTTGTAGGCTAGTTCATCTTTATAAGCTTTGGTTTCTTCATGTATTAAGTAGGGATAATAACTGCCAAAGTTATGGAATTGTTTTAAAATAATCATTTAAAATTAACATATTTTCAAGATGTGTTAACTAATACTTATTAATTTTTAAGTGGTAAGGAATGTGCAAATCTTACTATAGAAACACTCTGAGTGTGGGCAAGAACCATGAGGGTAGAACTGAAGGAGCCCCGGGAAGAGCTTTCCAACAGATTCCCGATGTGAAAATAATACTGCTTCCGATTTCAAGCAGAGGGTGAGTGGGCAGTATCTGAGGTTTCTTCCAAATAGCCTGTGATCTCATGGGAAGGAAAGAGGACAAATATCTAAAGAATTAGGATTTTACTATAACCTAGGAACCAGAGAAGTAGACTAAGAGTATGATGGGGTGACACACACTTACCTTTGCAAATTGGTAGTCAAGTCCTAAAGGACAAAATGCCTGAGGTCTATGAGGTTATAATTTAGTATGAGCTATACCTCCTTCAAACACAAACCAGCATTTCCAATTGAACTTTAGAGTATAATCTATTGCCAATATTCTTCATCTTTGCCTCACTTAGAATAAATGATACTATTTTTGATTCAGATACCTTTTGCCAAGCAATGTTCAGGGCTTGGTTTTTCTTCTGGTCAAGGTCCTCTATAGTTGCAAGTATTTTGGATTTGTCATTTTCTACAATTCTCTTCTTCTTCATCAAGTCATTATACTAGTAAGATAAAAATATTTTGGAAAAACATAAAACTTTATATTATAGAATTCAGTCAGGAATAAAGAGCTTTCATTATTTTCAATACATTATATTATGTAATTCTTATTTACCAAAAATATATATACTGTATTAATAGTTATATATTTACTTTCCTTATAATTAAATTATATCACCTACATGAGAATTTATAGGACAAGGACCCAAAATATTTGGACTCCACTAATATTCCCTTTCTAATATTCTAGAAGCCAAGACACAAAGAAAAGTGTGTCATATGTCAACTCAAAAGTAGCCCTGCATGCTTTAAGGTTAGTCTCAGCAGTGACACTAAATTTCACTTCTTCACCATGATATACAAATACTAATCTGGCCTTTACTGATCTCATTTTGACATCACACTCTTCCCCAGGCCGTAGCCACATGTTCTTTCTTCAGGACCTTGAATATATACCAGGTGTGCTGGTTAATAATGCAGATTTTGTAATCAAAGAAAACAATTTCAAGAGAAACATCAAAAGTCCTTTATTCATAGTAATGTCCATCACTAGCTGCACATTTCCCCATCTTTCAGGTAATTTGTGGATACTGTCCCAGTAGAACTTTTCTTGTTTTGAAGAATCCATTCAGAGACCCAGTTTTCCACTTTATATGTTTTGAAATGCTGCTTAGAAAGTGCATGTGCCATGGATCAGAACAAGTGGTAATCTGAAGGAGCAAGGTCTGGTGAATAGAGTGGGTGGGTTAATACTTCCTAGGCAAGATCTTTTAATGTGTTTTAACTGGTTTTGAAGTGTGTGATGGTGCGTCATCATAAAGCAAAATTACTTTGCCATGTCTTCTGGCACATTCTGTTCATTTTACAATCAAAGCGTGGTTCAAATTTATCTGTTGTCGGTAGCGATCAGTATTAACAATTTCACCTTGTTTTAGAAGCTCATAATACACCACACCTTCCTGATCCCACCAAACACAGAGCATTGTCTTCTTTCCGAATCGATTTGGCCTTGCAGTCGATGTTGATGGTTGACCTGGATCAACCCATGATTTTGTGCATTTGGGATTCTCAAAAGAAATCCACTTTTTATTGCCAGTCACAATTCAATGCAAAAAACTTTCTTTCCTGCCATTTGTTGAAGCAACATTTTACTGATGACTTTTTGGATTTCCATTTCTTTCGTTCAGTTGATGGGGCACCCATTTTCCTTCATTTCCTCCATTTCCTTTCCTTTCCCATTGCTTATGAACGAGTGAAAATTGTTCGCTGACCAATGTTTACTCTTTCTGCAAGTTGTTTCTGAGTTTGGCATGCATCTTCATCCAATAATGCTTAAATTGTTGGTCTTCAAACTTTTTATGTTGACATAGATGTTCTTTGTCTTTCAATTCGAAATCATCACTTTTAAAGCGTTTTAACCAGTGTTCACAAGTATCTTGAGATGGAGCATGTTCACCATAAGCTTCCCAAAGTATATAACTTTCAGCATTACTTTTCTTCTTATTCTTTGCATAATTCCATGTAGTAATTTATGTAGACAGACCCAAAATACAACAAAACAAAAGGCCACCTGTTGACCAATAATGCTTTTCTCTCTGATAAGGAGATGAAAGTTAATGAATTCTTTTAAAAAATATTAGATCCAGTTATTATCTAATAACATGTTTCATGATGTTCTGCAGTGCACATTCAGGCTAACAATAAACTTCCACAGCACATTGCAAAGCTTTAATGGAAAAATGAAAACCAGCAGGAACATTTTATAGAAATCACAACATGCACATTTATTAGCCTTTTGGTATCTAACATAATACAGAATCTTTGTATGTCAACAGTTTTGTGTTTTTAAACTCATTACAGCAAAATTCCTTAAAAGTAATTGAGCTCATCCTAAGTACTATCAGCTTTATAGAGCTCTCATTAACTCTATCATACAAATGCAAATGGAATTTTGCAGAATTAAAGAAGGTATAGGGCATAATATAAAATTTCTGACTGCTAGACTGCTAGTCAAGAATAGGGATTGCTTCCCCCTCTGGATTTTCCTAGTGACATGTCTGACTATAAATGTTTTGTCCGAGTAGGGGAGATGGATAACATTATTGAGCAACTGAGAACATTAAATAGGAAATGCTACTGGAATTACAGATTAGGAAAACACTGGTTAGAGATTAAAATCGTTATATATGTAATGTTTCCAGTACACACTGGAGATTGGTAAGGATGCAGTATATATTATTTTTCTTAACCTCTCAAGGTAAATGAAACAAATGATAGAAATGTGAGGCGTTAAACATGATCTGAAAGTATTTCTATTTATACTAAGAATAAAAGTAGAACATAATAAAAGTAGAACATATTTATGACAAAAGGGCAAAGCAAGCAGAAGTCATTCAAAGTACAGCAGAACATAAGAATAAAATAAGAAAACAAAGAACTGAAAAGGGAGAAAATGAAAACGGGGAAAAGCAAGTACCAAAGACATCAGGCAAAAGTTTTGACCCTAACAACCACCTCAGAGATTATACAGAGCCATTGAGGCTACAATGCTATTCATATTCTAACATGGCCAGGCATAAGAAAATGACTTACCCGCTCTTCTGCTTCTGTTAGTACATTCATTGCTCTCATGTTGACATTTCTTCCTAGTTTTTCCTTCATTTCTTGCAATTTTTGAAGTCTCTGACCAGCTTCTTTCGGGTTATTAGTTTTGAAATCATAGGCACTATTGGGTAGCCCAAAGAGGTGTTTCTCTGCATTAATCCAGTCATAATCTTTCAACATTTTGGATACCTAGTCATATTATAAGAGAAAGATCTATCATTATTTAAAAAGCTACATTTAAATATTTACTATTTTTAAATAAAACTAGAGGAAAACACCACAATGACTCACTTGAAAAAAATGAGGTTTATGTTGACAGTGAACCTATAGTAAGTACAGAGGTTTATGTTGACAGTGAACCTATAGTAAGTACAAGTAATTTCACCTGGAAGTCAGATCCAAGAAGTTAGATTATATTTTTTAAAAAATCTGTACATATGCTAAATAATAATTTCCTATTACTTAAGCATGATAATAAAGCCAAATCAGAAATTTTTACAATATATATGTAAAGTACTTCCATTGGAATGAAATGTAAATCAGATGAAGCTTCTTAGATTTTACCAAATTCAATCATTGCTTCAAAAAAAACAAAACAAAAAACAGCTTGTGGCCCAACTGGTGTGAATCAGTGGTTGAGTGTCGACACTTGAACCAGGAGGTCACAATTTAATTCCCAGTCAGGGAGGACAGCCAATCAATGATTCTCTCTCATCAATGTTTCTATCTCTTTCCCTCTCCCTTTCTCTCTGAAATCAAAACATATAAAAAACACGTCTATGAAAATTAAAATTCTTATACCAATACTAAGTTATAGATTTGGTAAAATCATGGAAGCGTCTTCCTGATAGGTACCTAATAATTATTCTCAGAATTATATCCTAAGAAACTGTCCTAACCATTCAATGCATCTCCATCACTCTCTTTTGACCAGGCACACACACAAAAAAAAACTCCTTTATATAACCAATAAAAAAAAAAAGTACAGTGTTTAAGGAAGACTTTCTTCTTCTAAAATTGTTCAAGATTAGTTTTGACTAACAGAATAATATTTATCAATTTGTTTATCCTTATTAATTCCCTGAGTATGGTCTCATCTCTAAGCTTCTAAATAAAAATGATCATTTCTAGTCTGTCTTCCCTACTGATACATAAAACTCTATGAAGGCATTTTGTGTACATGTTGCTCATTCTTTAGCATCTGATACTAGTTGGTAATAAATATTTGATAAACCATGTATTTCAAAGGATCATTGATTGACTTTTTAGCAATTCCACTTTCAGGCACCTTTCTTTACCACCTTAACTATAAATAAAATACCCTATTAATCACCAATATTAGTGTTTTTAATGACCAAAAAAGCTAATGGGTAGTCAATACTAGTAAAATATTAGGATATTATAATGTGGCTATAAAAAACTATTTTTAAAACCAAGAAAATAACCTAAATATGGCTCTTTCAGGGGGTGAAGAGATTATTTTGTATATTATGATCTTTTTGAAGTTAAACTGTTGTAGATTTATGATGCTAACAAAAATTTAAAGGCACCAAACTGTTACATACCTGTAAGAAAACTTAATGGGTAAATTATTAAGACTAATGGATGCAGCCCACTAACCAAGCAATGGATTTCTCCAAAAGCGTGTATTTTTCTTAAAATACTTAAAACTAAGTGACCAAAACAAACAAAACCACCTGAGATAGCCCAGCCAGTATGGTTCAGTGGTTGTGTCGACCTATGAACTAGGATGTCAGGGTTCGATCCCTGTAGGTATGCAGGAGGCAACCAACCAATGACTCTCTCTTAGTGATGTTTCTATCTTTCTATCTGATATCAATTAAAATACATTAAAAACAAAAACCTGAGATAATATAAAATGATAACTGTTTGGTAAAATGTCAGATTTCAGCTGACGGTGCAAAAATTGATTATACTGATCCTTAGAAAGTCATCCAGAAGCCAATTAAATTCAAAAGTTGCCTGTATTTACATTTCTGTGAGTCTTTAAATCCAATGTGAAATAAGGTAAAGAATATATATTATTACTACCAACACATTAGTAATAGTTCTATGAATATTGGGAAGGAAAAAACAGTCATTTGTATGGGAAACCACTTAAATATGTGGTAAAAAAAAATCTTGAAGATTGGTACAAATACCCAAGGCTGAGCAGTTAACGTAGTTTTTAAGGCTTCAAAATTATGTTACATAGTCGTTCTGCATCCAGCAGTTTACTAGAATATTTCAATAGCTCAGTATGATTAAGGGTAATAATGAACACAAACATGCCTTTGCAGCAGCATCTTCAGCTTCCCGTTTATGTTTGCTAATGTTGTGGTCCAGTTCCTTAATTTTAAGCTGAGACTCATTGTTTTGTTCCTTATGCTTTGCCACTTCTGCATATTTAGCTTTAATTACATTGTCCTGGGCTGATATCACTTCTTTTTGCTTGGTCATCTCTTCTTGAGCTTTATTTAATGATTCCTGAAAGAAATAATTAGGAGATATTTTTAGTTCACTAAAAGATCATCTAACAGCCTTCTGGGTAAGATAGCAATGTGATTACAGGCAGATGGTCACCTGATCCTCTACATATTATATCCCCATTAAAATGACTAATGAATCTTATACACAGGAGAAAACTGGGATTTCTACTAGGAAAAAAAAAAAGGGGGGGGGGGGGAGCGGGAAGATGAGATGCAGTGATTATGCTGGAGGCAACAAAGTTTTTGCTGAATAGTGTATCGATAGTTAGGATTAATTGGGGGTAGAAGAGACTATTGGAATCTGGTGAGATTTCTTGAAAAAGTGGCAATTCTGGGTAGTTAATAAGATAATCTGATAAACTCCCAAATGACACTTATCAGGAGCAAATAACAAGAGTAGAAGTAAGGTAGTCTGGGATCTGTTCCTTTTCCCTTCTGTAGATATAAGCCACATACATTACCTTTTACCTGTGACAATGGAAGGTCACTGTTTGGTTCTAGAACAGGGAGCAAAACAAGGAAATGGAGGAGAAAGGAACTTTTTTGAAGAACTAGATCTGTGGCACAAAGGAAAACTTCTTGGTCTGACTTGTATCCCCCAACCTCCAAATTGGTCATCACACCTGGGATTTAGTCTACCACCAATGCTTCACTCTAGATCTTAACTCACACAAATACCTACAGACAAAAAAGCCTAGGTCAACTTGTATTTAGGTGATGGAAAACAAATACAATCTCCATGAATGATTAAAAGTAAGTGAGTGTAATAACTTTTAAGTGTGCTCATAAGGAAACAAGGTAATTTTGAACAATAAAGAATACTTGACATTATGATCAGGTTACTGAATGCACCCAAAATGCTTTTGCAGGAGGAGGATAAATCATGGCACTTATCTAAACCAGTATGCCCACAGTATTTTTAAAACAAGCAATACCTGACTAATAGGGGCACTGGCCTTTTCCCCTTGTCAAATTTAAAAAAAAAAAAAAAATGACAACAGCCAACAGAATAGTCATCTGTTGTATATCTATCAAAATTTTACTCATTTTTTTTTGTCAGATCTGCAAAAATATAGATACTTTTTGGTGTGCCACAGAATTTTAGTAATTCATTTATTTGTGCCATCAGATGAAAAAGGTTGAAAATCACTGATCTTAATATACATTTACTTTTTTTTTTTTTTTTTTAAATATTTTAAAAAGCTAAAAAAATACTCTGGTGATATTCACCAAAGGAAAACAGAGAAAGTTTATGCTGAACTAACTAATGCTGTACCTGAGAAAAACATGTTTATGAAGAAGACTGCCTAACCATTAAAGATTGCACTGCAGGTGTGACTGACTTAATTTTTTAGATAATTGTTTTTATAATGGTAGGGAAAAACAGGAAATCTGTCAATTAAGGTTGATCAGAAACTAAATTTTAGTATTATTTGTTTTAAGCTAATTAGTTTTAGGCAGTTTAACTCCCTAGAATGTTCTTAACACAGCTTACCATCAAAGAAAAACAATTTAAAGTTTGTTCTTTCAGACTTCACATTCTAAAAACCAAGTGATCCATTTTATAGTTTTCCATAAAGAGAAAGATACTTTCTTTATAAAAATAGGTACATGCTTTAACTTTATTTAGGTGAAGGAAGGAGGGGCCAATTTTCACACTTCTCTAAAAACTGTCTAATTTTTAAAAACTCTTTGCTCCTCCTGATAAGTGTCATTTGGGAGTTTATCAGATTATCTTATTAACTATCCATGAAAGACAGTAGAAAATATGAAGGAATGAGATAAAAAGATAACAAATCAAAGGAGTCGATGTTTTAAAAACTAAAATATCCTTTGGAGTCGATGTTTTAAAAACTAAAATATCCTTTGGAGACATAAGTAGAAACTATAGCTGAGAAGCATTTCTATCCCTTAGATACAACAGAATTAAGAGGAAAGATCTACTTTTAAAAACACAGGATGATAAAATAATTAAGTCATGTTAAAAGGAAGATAGATGTAGAAGTAGAAGCAAGGCAAAAACATTCTTTTACCACAATGGAGATAAATGAATGGAACTCCTGTTAAGCTAGCTACGTACATTTTGTTAACATGAAAATCAATGATATACTATTTACAAAAACAGTATTGAAATGGCAGAAAACTTCATCACAAAATCAAAGTACATGCATGCACTGTACAGCGTGGTTACTAGTTAATGCATAAAAGTTGCTAAGAGAATAAGTTAAAAGTTCTCATCACATGAAAAATGTAACTGGTGACAGATGTTAACTAGACTTACTTTGATCATTTTGAAATATATACAAATATTAATCAGTGTATTCCTGACCTGAAACTAATGTCAATTATAATTGATTTCTACCCCTTTTTGAAAATTAACATCAAACAACAGAATTCAAGGTGGGAAACATAAAAAGGGACAAGAGAGGGTATCCAATATTAAGGAGGGGCGATCTCTAATAAAGACATACCCTAAAAAACCCCCTTGACTCCAAATCCACTGCCTGCTTCTGCTATCATCACATCTCCCTCCTCAGTAAAGGATGCTGTTGGGGGCACTGTAGAAGGAAGGGGCTTTACTGTCTGCCATGAAGCTTGTCCTTGAGAAAAGCACACCAGTGAGGGGGCTTCTCAGCATGTAGACAGCCTGTCTCCCCTGGCATAACAGAACTTTCCTACAAAGGGCTTTCTCTGGCTCTCCAAACCTCACCACCAGTGGGCTACAGTCAAGTCTTCTCCAACTAGATCTGGTTTCTCAGCCCTGCAGTGGAATGGGGCTATTTCCTGATTTATTTCGTCTATGGGAACACTGCTTCAGCCCTACAGGTAATGCCTGTTCCCTTATCTGCTGGTTCCTATTTTCAGAGTTCTCAAAACCCCTTAGTGATCCCACATCACTCCAGATTCCTATTACTGTTAATTTTCTTAATTTACAAGTTGCCCTTTCAAATTACTGTGTTTTTGTTATCTGAATAAACCTGGACTAAGAGTGAAGAGATTGAGACCTCTGAAGTTAGCCAGTGTTTTATTAATCTAGCCAGATTAACATTTGCAATTTCTTCAATATGGTAAGTAAACCTTACCTTACTTTTAGCCACCTCAGCTGCCATTACTTCAATCTGACCTTCATAGGATTTGATAGCTTCATTTACAGCTTCAAGCTGTTGTTCGCAGGATGCATGCTCTCTCTTGAGCTCTTCCAGTTCCAGAGTGATAGCTTCAACTTCCTGTAAGAAACATAGGGCATTAACTACTGAAAAGTAAATACTACATATCAACAAAATTAGTAAAGACTCTCTTGCAAGTAAGACCAACAGATTAATTACTTAACTACCTAATACATATCTAAAGTGCTTCATCAGAAGAAGGGAGGGAAAATAATTTACTCTCCTATACTTAATATTGCCCATACATCTGTCATTTTTACTAGTTCAAGAAACTTTGCATGGACTATTTCCTTTATCTTTTTATTCCTATAGGTAAAAATAATATTGGATTCTACATAACAGATATGTTAAGTACAATATAAAAAAAAGTTTCTCGATTTTCTTCTTTCCTATTATATATAGCCTTCCCTATTATTAGAAAATAATTTGTGCGGCTATTTAATGACAAAAGCATGAGTTAAAAGTTCACTTTTCTTCATAGTTATTTTTTTATGGAACAGTGATTCAGAATATAGGCATTGGAGACAGAAAAAAATCTAGGTTTAATTCCTAGCTTTGGTACAATCCAAAAAATGTAAATATCACCAGTCTACAAATGAAGGGCATTCCATAACTACAGCATGCTTTGTCCTACATCATTTTTTCAAAGTACACATTCACATAAATGATCAACAAAAGAAATGAAGACTGAATCTGATATGACATAACAAGATGTATTTCCTAAAAAAGTATGCTTTGTTTTTAGATTCTGTGATAAATACTGAAAAATAAGGCCAATCAATGGTGCTCTACCACCTTCAGCTCTGTGTTGATGTTAAAAGATTGGTTCTCTTTCAACAAAGGTTATTATTACCTGTTGTTTTTCTTTCATTTTCTTGCTGGAAGCATCTGCTTTTGTTTTGGCACAATCAAGTTTTTTCTGAGCATCCTTCAGTTCCTTCTCTCTTTCAGCTTCTGCATTTTTCATTTTATTCTCTAATACTTCATATTTTTCTTCTGCTTTCTTTTGAATTTCTTTGGTGTTTTTTAAGGTCTCTTCACTTTCCTCTGTTTAATAAAGTAGGCAAATGTGGCTAATTGAGATACTTCCAACTATTAACAGTTATAGATAATGGCTTACAAATTCAACTCTTAATAGAAAAAAACGATCTGTAAAGTTAGAAACTAGAACTTAAAAAAAAACCACAAAACTATTCCAACTTTATTCTTGAAATAATATGTTGAAACAGATACTGCATGAGACAGATACTGCATGAGAGCCATATTTGATCTGAAGATCTATGATGAAATTATTTCCAATCATATGAAATTGAATAACGAAAGATAAACGTAACCTATAACTTATTAAAAAGATCAGACCATCTTTTTTAATATGTGTGCTTCCTAAAATCAGAACAGAGAGAATAACTGATATTTTTTAGAATAACTGATATTTTTCCTTTATTTTAATTGCCAGAGAGCTTAGAATTCTATAAATAAGCTTACTTTGTATTCTTCACTCACTTATTTTGATTCAAGAGAAATATTGTGAAAAATGTGAAAAATGTCTAGGATGAAACATATTGTCTCTAAATTTATGAAGAAAAAATAAAGTAAAATAGAATAAGTATACTTGTTACTCTCACAAATGACACCCTGAAAGAATCTGGAGAATTTTAAAAGTCTGAACAGGGCCAAAACCGGTTTGGCTCAATGGATAAGAGCATCAGCCTGTGGACTGAAAGGTCCCAGGTTCGATTCAGGTCAAGGGCATGTACCTAGATTGCGGACACATCTCCAGTAGAGGGAGTGCAAGAGGCAGCTGATGGGTGATTCTCTCTCATCGATGTTTCTAACTCTCTATCCCTCTCTCTTCCTCTCTGTAAAAAAATCAATAAAATGTATTTTAAAAAAAATGTTAAGTCTGAAGAGGAATGAATTTGGAGAAACTTTCATATGCTATTGGTGCAAATGTGGACTTCTACAAATGGGCAGAATTTGGCAATATAGTAATCATAACATGCAATAATTAAAATAAGTTTTAAAGACAATTCAAATAACTACATAATAAAGATAAACTCTAAATAACTCAAGTAAGGTTACTAGAAACACATTAAACACAGTTCCTCATCTTACCAATGGTTTTTTTAAGAGCATCTAATTCTTCTTGTTGCTTGTGATATGAACTTTGTTGGAGCTTGGTTTGTAATAAATCTGCCTCCTCGGTTTTCATCTCCCACTGTTGTTTTAGTTTGCGATACCTTAGAAAAAGAGAAGTTTGTACCAAATGAACACAATTTTTCTGATGTTTAAGACATGCATCCAAACTACAGGCTTTTACCTAAAATAAACTCACTTACTAAATATAAACAATATAAGATACCACTGGTTACCAGAATGGTTTTGAGGCATCAATTAAATTCAAGGTTGATTTGGTCGCTGAAGGTTAACAACTCTAAATGACTAAGACTAATAATTATTTACAGCAATACTCCTACTTTTACAGCAATACTCCTACTTTTAGAAAACACTAAAAATCATCTTTGAATGAAATAGGCTTCCTTAAAAATAACCTTTCCTACTAATCCTTACTGAAAGGGAAAAACTCCACAAAAAAACACACATCAGATTAATAATATATATTTACACAAAATTTTAAAAATTGATTAGTAATCTCCATTTTCAAATGTTAAAAAAAAAATGATGTCCCTTACATTTTTTAATGAGACATAGTTTAAAAGTGCTTAGCACCGAGTAAACATTTGCAAATCCTGTGATCCAGCCCAGTTCTGGCTGTTTAAAAATATTTAGCTAATTCATCTACAGTTAAATTTCAAGTAATTAGAAATTCATGACGTTTGAGGAAAAAGTATAAAATACTTATTTGCGTATATTGCCTCAAACTGCTTGACATAAATTAAAACCATAATTTAAGCTAGTAATTTTTCAATTTATTTAAAAAAAAAAAACAACAAAAAACCCTATGTTCCTGATATGGTCTATGAAAGAATAGCTTTAGTTGACCCTTCCATTGTCATATTTTTTCAAAATCTATTTCCTTTCCTTGACTCCAGTGCTATAAATCTATAGGACAAATCTATAGGACAAAATAAATGATCCAATACTGCTGAACAAAGTTAACAGTTCTAAGCCAACTATGAGCACAAACTCACTGTCATGCCAGAGCTTCCACACAGCTCAGAAAAATTTTGTTGCATTTTTCTCACAGAAAAAGTTCAGTCACTTTATGGTTAATTTATGTTACTGAAGGTAAAATGCAGCCTATTACAGGTATATGATGTTTGCAAATGGGCATTTTGATATACTGTACCTTGGAATGACCATGCTGACTGATAACAATTTCTTTAATATACACAGTATCCTAAAAATTTTGTTACCCTTCTAAGCTTTGATAATTTTAGATGAATGCTACAAATTTCATTTCTAACTTTATGTAGATTTTTAAAAAACCTTTATTCAGCATTGTGAATTTTAAATAAAATGTTTGATTTTATCTCAGTCGCCAGCTTCAGAGGGACTAGAAAAAATTACTTTTATGTAATGTACTTTGTAAGTTGGGGGGTTTATACTCCTGAAGCCTTTCAAAGCAAGGACTCTTCTCCAGGATAACCACACGTGTTCACTCCCATCATTCAACAGCCACCTTGTAAGCAAGGCTTTCCCTGAACACCAAATCTGAAATTTCAGCACCTATGTCCTGCCAGCTCATTATCTTCCTTTCTGTAGTCCTTTTTTCTCCTTAGAACTTAGCATTTCTCTAACATACTTTACCAATTTAACCTTCTTTAGAGTTTGTTTCTTAAACTAATATGTTGATATATATTTAGGAAATATATATATTTATAAACAGGATGAAGAGATTTATCTGTTTGATTTATCATTGTATATCTGTTTGATTCATCATTGTATTCCAGTATTTGATACATAGGAAGAGGCACTCAAAAATGAATAATGTTGTTAAAAAAAAAAAAAAGGTTAAACAGCATGATCCCAATTTTGAAAATAACATCCATATACCTTGTACCATACATAAACAGAAATAATATTGAAAGGTTCACATACATACCTATAATCTACACCCACAGAAAAAACATGTAAGGATACTTTAATTTCAGCAGTGAATTTCTGACAAGAACTTGTTTATTTCCTCCATAGGTAACCTAGTAATTTTAAATAGCTGTAGGATAGCCATAATGCTGCTAAAGTCAGTGCAGACACCTGATTAATGCTATACTGTATCATATCATTCAAATCAAGGACCAAGTATCTGCTATCAACCTCCAGAGTACATCTCAAAGGGAAAGGGGGATATTTGGCTAATTTTTCCTTCTGTTTAATTTTTTATCACAAAAACATTTTTATTATAAAAATGGAATAACTGATAAACAAGTTATCAACTGACAATTTATTCAACTAAAACCAAGGATCTGAAGAAAAAGTCAAAGTTGCATTTCTTTAAGTAAATATATATTTCCTTTTCTACCATGCAAAATATATATACCAAAAAGAATATATATAAATATATGTAACTTAATTCAACAGGTCTTACTTTTCAGCAGTGTTTTTAAGACCTGCTAATTCCTCTTCTAGGGACCGTAGTTCATTCTCCTTGATTCTCAGCTTATCTTGAACATCTTTGAGTTCCTGAAACTTTGTTAAAATAGAAGCCGCCTGGGATCGAGCACCTGATAAAAACAAATTGAAATTGTACGTTAAGTTTGAATTATACTTGAAATGATTCTATAGGCAATCCTTTACAATGAGCTTATGAAACAATAGAATTTACTTCATTTAAATCTTACAATATACATACTTGGTAAAGTACTTCTAAGTAGATGTGGTAGATTATTTATTCAAGCTAATCACTGTCCCTACCTAGTACTTCCCATAAAGATCGGGGTTAGGCATGTAATTTGATCTTGTCAACAAAGAGAAATGTGCCTCTTCTGAAAGTAAGCCTTTAATGACAGCCCCTAAATCACATTTTCCCCCTTGTCCATTTCTCCTTCAGCCTGGATCCCAGAATGGAATTAGCATGGGACAGAGACAATTGACCTACAGCTATTGTAGCATAATCATGAAAAAAATTTGTAAGCCACTGAGACTTGGGGGCTGTTTGTTACACTATAACCTTGTCCGGGCTCTGATATAGCAGAGAAAATTGGTTTCACTTTATAAGCAACTGTATTTGTCTGGCATTGACAGGCCAAGATGTTATATTGACAAGGCAACTTGTAGGTTTGGTAAAATACAAAGGTCAATTAGCAATGCCATTATGAGTATTTTGTTAATATGATATGGGGCTACATATTTGCCATCCCGTAAGCAGTAATTTCAAGAACATACAAGTCAATGAAATCTAGTTTCTTCTATTTTAGATATTTAAAAATATTTGGTCTGTCTTACAATTGAAATTACTAGTCATCTTATTGAGTACTGGGGAATTTGATCATCAGATTAATTTTGTTGACTATTCTTGGCCTAGAAAGAAATTGTCATTTAATATGTAAGAGGTGTTATATAACCTCTTGGTTTGGTTAAAAGCAGGAACTCTAATTAGAGTGCAAATTTTGAATTTTGCCACTTACCAGCAAGTTATTTAACCACTCTGTAACTTATTTTCTACAACTGTATATTAGAAATGATAGTAATATGCTAACCTCATAGTTGCTATAAGGATTAAATGAGTTAATTATTTAAAGCGCTTAGAATAGGGTTTTATAGCATGATAGAGATGTTCTCTATCTGCATTTTCCAGTTACCCATTAATTAACCTAAATTTATGGTTACTGAGCCCTGAGAATGTGACTTGTGCAACTGAGGAAATGAATTTTAATTTTGATTATTTAAATGTAAAGAGCCACATGTGGCTAACAGTTCCTATTTTGGACAGCACAGTCTTACAACACTGCCTAATACACAGTATTATTCAGTGTTTGCTATTATATGATCACTTGATACAGATCTGTAAACTCAATGTGGTAAACATTAAAATAAGAAGCATATGGTCATTACCTAAGAATTCCTTTCTTAAAGCATTAAAAAAGTACCATCTCAAGGGCAAATTTAATTTTGTTTTACTTTTGACAGTAGCAGTGGCATATACACAAAGTAGAAGTTAACATGTTTGCTGAAGGAAAATGGGTGGTTAGGCTACAAATAAACTGGGGGGAGAGGGGAAAAGAGTTCATTTCCCAGTGACTAGAATATTCTGATAGGGCAATAAGCAAAGAAAACAAAAAGTAACAGATTTACTTGAGATGAATAAAAAAGCTAGGATTGATGCTTGGACTAGAGCTCATTGAGGGCTATGACATCACATAATCTCTCAATATTATTATTAAATACCTGTCAAGTGGTAGGTACTCAAAAGAAAAACTCTGGATTAAGTCCTTCCAACCCTACTATTTCCTGTTAAAGATAAAGCTCCCATCCTATTTACCACAGAGAATTATGAGGGCAAATCACATAACACCTACCTCCACTCAGTGTCCCGTGAGGATCAAATACCTCTCCTCCTCGAGTTACAGTTCTAGTCATTATCCTTTTATCAAAGGCTACTTTTTTTGCATTATCCATATTGTCACAAACAAATGTTGTTCCAAACACAAACTCCATTGCTTTCTGCAGTTCCGGTTTGTATTCAACCAGGGAAAGGGCCACATGAACATTGTTAGGGCCAACCTGTGGGGGAAAAACAGATGTCATAGTACTTACTACTGAAAATAATTTTGAAAGGAAAGTAGTAAGAATTGCTACAATAGAAATTTAGGTAATACTTATCTAACACAATACTTCCTTTAGAACTTTCTAAAATGTTACGGAAATCTCCAGAGTTTTATTTAGGAAAAAAATAAAAAATACAAATTTAAAACCTGAAAGACCTATTGAGAGTTTCCAGCAAGCAGGAGCCACTATCAAGTTCCTAAATCCAAATAGGACTATTCGGACAGACTTTCTTAATTAAAGTATAGCAATGCTGGACCAACATTATGACATAAAATGTTTTGTTTTAATTATTAGTAATATGATTGTTCCACAGTGAATGGTTTTTCATTCAAATTAAATATGCTAGGGCAGCCACTAAAATAAAAACACAACTAATAATTGAGTTAAAAAAAATTTTTTAAATCTCTGTCCTTTATTTATAGGGTCTACCTCTGCTCGTCTTTTAGAACAACTAAGTATTCTTTATGAAGCTTAGCAGCAGCTGCATTATATAGGGCTAACGGATTTAGTTGTATTTTTACTGTTACTTGAAATCCCAATTTACTTCTGACACTGGGACTGGACCTAAAGCTGAAATAACTTCCAAAACCTTCAAAGTAAAGGAAGTACTAACCCAAAATACCACCTTCCAATTACTGTGCAATCATCTTCACCTCCTGACAGTTTATAGATCAACACAATTATACTTTGAAGTAATTTTAACTGAAGGCTTCTCAGAATTTCAGCAAATATACTGAATATCCATTTAATATCTTAATAACAAATGCACTTTGAGCTTTCAATCTTTTCAACTCCTGCACTTGAAATAACCATTGAAGCTGATTCTACTGCTGAATATTATACAATCGTAATTGCCTTTTAAATGAACTTCCTTATACTCATCTGCTATTTACCAGTAATCATACCAGGGGTAGGAGTTAGCTACTACTTCTCAACAGCTGACTGGGTATCTCTGCCCTGTGTTTTGTACGTCCACAGATTGAAAGGCAACTTAGAAGAACTCTACCAGAGAAGCATCTCTGAAAGATCAACAGACACCTTCCATACAGTTCTTGCTGTGGACAGTTTACATGTGCCTAGCATGAAAAAAAACTGAAGAATTCTGGTATTAGTAAACTATAATTCTAATTATTCAGTAAACTATAATTCTAATTATTCAGAAAACAGAAATTCAATACAATCAAGAGCCACTTAATGATGGGGATATGTTCTAAGAAATGCATTGTTTCATGATTTCATCACTGTTCAAACATCGTAGACAGCGCTTGCCAACCGGTTGATGGTCTTCCGTGAGGTCCAAAAAGTTGGCAACTGCTATCAGATTGTACTTAACACAAACCTAGATGGTATAGCCTATTATACAACTAGCCTACTGATCTGTAGGAGAGGAAAAATAGTTTTCCCTTCACCTTTCTGGTTCTTAGCTGAGACATTCCTACAGGGCATAGGGGGGGAAATTAACAGGAGAAAAATGAAAGTTTAATAACAAATATTTTATTTACATGAAAGAAACCTGGGGAAACTGACTCCTCAAAATAGCTGAAGCCAGCACCTTAAATATCTTCAGTGCAAGGCAAAAGATATTGGGGTGGGGAAGAGTAAGATACCAGAAAAAGCACAGTAAAGAAAGGTAAGGTTGCTATGTAGATTTTTTTTGTCTTCTATACGGATATGAAATTTTAGAGGTAATGTTACTTCCCTCTTCACCCTTACAAATGAAAGTATTTTTACAAAGGGTAACTTCTACTTTCTTAACAAGCCTAAAATATTTTTATACCAAACATACATATTTAGGAGTAACAAATTGTTGCCCTACAGCTTCTAGGCTACAAACCATGTTACTGTATGAAATACTGTAGGCAACTGTAACACAAGGGTTAAGTACTTGTGTAATATATGCTATGACATTACTAAGGCTAGGACTTCACGAAGACTTAAAATTTTTAAAGCTCTATTATAATCTTATAGGACCAAGGCCTTATATAGGGTTCTTTCTTAATGGGGAGAGCACTGTTTTTACTATCACCTGATAGTTACATAACTTGACTTAAGGGTTAAAGAGATTCTTATACTACAACTTTGAAACACCAACATTTTTTAAAAAAAATATATGTTTTATTGATTTTTTACAGAGAGGAAGCGAGAGGGATATAGAGTTAGAAACATCAATGAGAGAAAAACATCGATCACCTGCCTCCTGTACACCCCCTACTGGGAATGTGCCCGCAACCAAGGTACATGCCCTTGACCGGAATCGAACCCGGGACCTTTCAGTCAGCAGACCGACGCTCTATCCACTGAGCCACACCAGTCAGGGCAGAAACACCAACATTTTTATTCTCTTCTCTTCTAGTTTCACAAGCACCAACTATTTTTTTTGTACTTTAATTTTTAAAGCATGGTAGCAAAAATTGTAGTTCTGCATATGATTAAGTCCACCAAAATTAATGTTCTCTAATTTAAAAGATAGAGATAAAATACTTAAGTAAGACTTACAAGATTCTGAGCGACCCTCAGGGTTTCTGGAGCAATACACGTGGCTGAAATTTTATTGAGTGGAATTATAGTGTATCGACGCTTCAATTCCCCCTTTTCTAGTAGCTTTTTCCCAGTAATCTAAAACACAACACATGTGAAATAAAAAATTCATGCATGTTATCAATGATAACAGAAAACATTTGAATAAAAAGAGTGTACCTTTAGGAATCCACAATCAAATAAATGTTTAGTGCCTACTATCCTGAACAATTAAAAGTCTAAGGCTGATAATATATATTCTGGATACCCGAGTGAGCTTGAGAGTTCCTCTGAAATATAGCTAAATCCTATATAATAAAGAGCTAACATGCTAATTAGACCAAACAGCAGAATGACCTGAGGCTTCGAGGGCCGAGCCTCTTGCACTAATTTTCGTGCAACAGGCCTCTAATCAAATATAATAAGTAATATACTAAAAATGTCATTAACTGAAAAGTTTTAACTTGTAAAAATAAGCAACCCTGGAAGAAGCTTATAACATTAAGCAACCCTGGAAAAAGCTTATAACATCAAGTAAGTACCCAAATCTTTTAGCAGCACATGATTTTCAAGCTGAACAGCAATTACAAATTTCCTTTATTAAAATCAATTTACCTCTGTGTCTACTACAACATTGTAGAGTCGTTCCCCAGCCACCAATTCTAAAGCTGTGGTTGCAGAGGTATCCTTCACACTGATCAAAGAAGCTACAAGTCCTTTCACACAATTTCTATTCCAGTTCTTCTCTGGATCCCTAAAATGGAAAAGATGACAAAAGTCAATTTTAGATAAGAAAATAGAAAAAAATTATACATATAGTAATACTCAGGAGCTCTGACAACACATTAAATTGAAAGAATCATATAGATTTAACAAAACAAAAACTGGAAAATGTCCCAGATGCCTACCCAGCTATTGTTTTTAAATCAATCAAAAGCCCTTTTAGTACATATTGTTTCCATGTAACAAAAAACCTTTGACTTTCTAATCTTTGTAATACATAAATTACCACAGATTCTATGAAAAACTCCTATGAGGAAATCAAATTGTAAAATGTTAATGTAGATATTTATCATTAATGACAGAAAAACTTTAAAGAAACTTTGGAATGAGATTAAATTCCCTCTTTTTGGTTTTACGATCGGTAGCATTAATAGCCATTAAATCTTACAAGAAAGAACTTCCCCTGCCCACACCTGAAACATTTCAATAAATATTTAAGAAAAAAATAGCAATTAAGGTAAAGCAGAGCAGTTTATAATAGTTTTCATACAAAAATCTTAATGTCCATGAAATTTTCAGACTGCCTTACAGCCAAAATAAAAATAGATCTTGGTTTTTACTATGCTAAAATTCAAGATTTAAATCTCATACCTGTAGGCAAACTGAAGATTGGGAAATCTGGCCAAGAGAGCTTCATATGTTTCTTTCAATCTACTGATATCACGTGACAGCTGCCTACGCTTTTCCAGAAGGCTTTCCTCCTTGTTTTCTAAATAGTAAATCATAAGTAAATTAAAACCAAATCTTAAAATATTCTGTTTTAAGGAAAATATTTGTAATTTCTATTTCCAAAGCTTTTCTAGAAGCAAAATACAAATTTCTGATAAGAAATAAAAAGCATGCTTAACATTCAAATTTCTATCACGTCAAGTAGACATTCCTGGCAAATAATACAATTTCTATTCCAAAAAATAACAAATGAATTGAATGCCTACTTGAAGTATATAAATGACAGTTTTGAATACCTACTTGAAATATATAAATGCAGTTTTGAATTTTCAAGTGTCAGAGATCAGAGTGATTGGAGAAGAAAATTCTGAGTTGTGAGTCTTCAAAAATTCAAAGCATTATGTTATAGTTAGATATTTTTGTGACTATTTGTAAACATTTCTCATACTAATACTCATTAATAGGATAAAAATTTCCTGCTTGCTATTTAAGTTCATTTCCCCAATCACCACTACCTCCTAATGATCTAATAGTATGTCTATAAAAACAAACCTTCATAATTTAGCTTTTTCATTTCGGCTTCAAGTTTTTCTTTAAGCTTCTTCACAGCCTCTAAAGCTTCTTGATCCTTCCTGTAGCCACTATCCATCTTCTTAACTTCAGCTTGTTTAGTCTTTAATTCTTGTTGGGCATGTTTCAATTTCATCTGAGCCTACAAAGAAAAATGTAACAGACCATCTGAGACAGATAGTTCAGATTGGTTTAAAAGTATCAGCCTTGAAAATGCAACTGTTGGCCACTTGGATTTGTATCCCAACAGAGCAATCATTTCCCAACATTTTCTCCTCAAAAACAAAACAAAACAAAAAAAACTACTCAGAGTAAAAACTAACGTGTTTAACATAAATCATTAAATAACTCACAATTTAAATCTCTATTTTTAATATTTATAAAATATGAAATGAATTAGTTCAAATTATATAAAACAATACCTGTCATTAACTGGTTAAATTAAAAACACAATAGAAAGCTGGAAATCCTAACTCTAGTTCCCTTCCTTCCCACTTAGATTGTACTAATGTGTATTTGTGAGTGTTTAACAAGAGAAGCTGGACTGAGCAATGAGAAATATTACATAGAAAAAGGGAAATTAAATTGACAGCAATTTAAATGTAGAGTCTGATATTTAAATGCTAGTTTATATAATTGAACACTATTCTTAAAACCTTGTAGTATTCTAAGCTCTGTATCGATATATCCTCCCTCTAAAACTGAATAACAATGGGCTTTTCCCCATCAAATAAATTTATAGGAAAACTAAGAGGATTTTAACATTTTTTTGAGCTATTGGGCTATTGATTTTTAAATATTTTGTGACCATCTTTGTTGAATAAAACAGTGGCAAATAAGTAATAGAAAAACTTGAATTGGTTAATACACAAATACACACACATGTCCATATATATTTTCAGAGCTGAGTCTTCCATTACAAAAAAATGTGTATATATAAATTTTTTTCTTTCTGCTATCAAAAGTATTCACAGGATTTTGAGTTGTACAACTACCTAAACAAGTTTGAAAACCATTCTAATAGATTGATTTCATAATTTTCAAAGGCTTGTCAGAGTAGGAAAACCAAAGACTAGAATGGGGGTAGGTGGGAAGTAGAGATACTTCCAAAGACTATGTTGTCATGTTTTAGAACCAAGATTTTAAGAAATAGATGTGGTTAGCATAGAAATGGATTGGATGCTTTTCTGTTCCTGTTAAAGCTTAGTACTTCAAGTTTATGATACCAGTAAAAATAGCAAATATATATATATATATGTGTGTATACACACATATATATATAAAATTGACTAACCTCAAATATTCCACATAGTGCTGGAAACAAAATATTCATTGCACTAACAATTTCAATTAACCTATAAAGGTATGTTTTAAAGCATTTTTAAAGCATCTTTAAACTATCAACACTTAGCAATCCACGTATTAGAATTTCATTATAGTAAATGCTATAAAGTGGCAGAAGAAAGTAAGTTCCTTGACACTGATCTGATTCTTTTTTAACAAAGCATAAATGTGAAGCATCTTCTTGAAAACAACAAAAAAAGGAATTACATAGTGCTTAAATGTTTTACATTTACCTGTTTGGCTTCTGTCTGAGCTTTACTTATATCATTTTTACAGGCCATCATTTGACCAGCAAGAGTTGCTTCTGCTCCATCTTCATTACTGGACAGGCCAGCAGAAACAGCATTGAAGTGCTGTTGTGCAGCAGCCAAAGCTTCAGCGTCTTTATTACTTGCTTCTTGAAGGGTGTTCAGCCCATCTGTTATCTTCTTAACCTCTTTTTCCTTTGCTGCTAAAGTTTTAGAATCCTTTAGGAAAAATTTCAGAATGGAAAGTGTCATATTTTAGGAGAAACATCTTATATACATGTACACTATGTCATCAAATTTCACTGCAATTTGAAGGTAGGCATGGTTACAAGGAAAATACTGTCACCTTAAATAAAATAATTTAAACACTTGATTCCCATTTTAAATTTGCTCTATTTTTAAGATAAATGTGTTTCTTATTCTTTTAGAAATACTTTCATGTTATAGTCAAATCTGAGATATGAGCTGAAACATAATTGCAAATTTAAACCACTTGAAAAAACAAAATCAGTTTCTAAATCTAAATAATTATAATAGCCATCCTAATTTTAAAAGTAGAGATTTTAGGATTAAGAACATGTATAGAAACATATTTTTAGACCCTGGCCTGGTAGTTCAGTTGGGTAAAACATCATCCTAATACGCCGAGGTTGTAGGTTTGATCCCAGGTCATGGTATATACATGAATCATCCAATAAATGCATAAATAAAATGAGCAACAAAACAATGTTTAGTTCTCTCCCTCTCTAAAATCTATAATTAGAAAATTTTTAGAATATATTTATAAACAATTAAAGGACATAAAATTTAAGCATTAAATAATTGTGGGGCAGCATTACTTTTAAGTTTTATTAATCGAGCACTATTCAAGATACCAGCCCTAAAAAATATAACTATATTGTTTATATGAAAGTGACCAGAAATTTTGGCCCACCTGTTTAATTCATGATTGAATAAATATTTACTAGATGTTTACTGTGTACCAAATAAAATTATGTATTGTTTTAGACTTCTTAGGGAACCTGTATGTTAGGGTGGAAGACATAGTAAGCAAACAAAGCAAAGGGATGGAAAGTTAAGGGGGGCTATTATTTTAAGAAGAATGACAGGAGGTCTTTTTGTGATAACATCTGTGCTGAAGCCTAACTGAAATAAAAGGAGTGGCCATGCTATACTAGGAAGAACTGTGAAGGAGCCAGAAATTAGACCATACAGAGTTGTAGATTTGGATTTAATTATACTTGTAACTTTGAAACCACTGAAAGGTTTTAAGAACAAGAATGATGTGATCCAATTTGTATTTTAGCTTTTGTAAAGAACAGACTATAGAGCAGGAGGGACAACTAATAAAGACACTATTGCAGTATCCCTCATGGGAGGTGAGGGTGGTGATGAAAAATACTTATATTCTGGATATACTTTTAAAGTCAACAGAATTTGCTGATTGATTAGATGCAGGATTTGAGAGAAAAAGGGAAATCCAGGAGGATCCTATAATTCCTGGACAAAACCATTAGGTTACCAGTGGTGTCCTTTACCAGTATGAGAAAAATTCAGTAATATAGGCAGGTTTGGGTAAGCGGAGTAAATTTAAGTTTTATTTTGGATATGTTAAATTTTAGACTTTGTTGGCCATCCTTGTAAAACTATCAATTAAGCAGCTAGACAAATGAGTCTAGAATTTATCTAGCTTCCCTGAGTCTAGAATACAGGGAAGAAGTGAAGAATTTGGGAAATGCCAACATATGTACTTTGATTTGTATTTTTAACCTGGATTCAACATCTCAGCCATACTGAGACTGTTGAAAGGGCACAGAAACAGAATAGGCAAGTCTCAAATGGTGGCAATTAAGAATCAGGAGGCCTATCTCAGCTTCACATTCCCCAGCCTAGAGCTCCAATGCCAGGAAGAGGAGTCCCCATAGCAACGATGTGAAAACCAATGGGCATTGCATATAAGAGAAACGGGTGTGTGTGTACTGGAGTCCTACTCACTGCAAGTCTTAGAGGGCCTGGACATAGACTCACTCACAATCTAGCTCTGAGCCCCAACACAGCAGCTCAAAAAGCCAAGAAACACACAGGGAAGAACTAGCTTCAGGGCAAGGGCTGGAAGGACAGGGACAGTTCTCTCCCAGAGGAAAGTGCTGGCAGGTGCTACTGTTCCTCCACCCTCTAACTCCCCAGTGCAGGCAGACACCAATCTGAGCTTTTCATTAATCTAACACCATTCACCCTAGTAATTTCCTGAGACCCCAGTGCACCCAATTCACCCACCTGGCGGAACCTCTTCCAGCAGCTCCTAGACAGAAGGAACCTGCCTAAGCTTGAGTTGTGGACTTCCCTAAAATCTTTCAAAGGCACACAAATTCCAAATAAGACTTGGTGTGCTCGGTACCTATTGTTTATTCCTACCACACAAAGTGGTGACCAGTCTCTCATCAGATGGCCCCACCCCTGGCATAAGCAGGTTTGGAACATAGCTTCAACTAACAAAAATCTGGCACAAGTGGCAGCAAGCTTGAGCCCCCAATGTGGTGTCCATCAAAAGGTACCAAATGCAACACTAGTGGAAGTCAGCCATACACAAGGGGATATAACTCTTGTAAACATATACACACCCAACATAGAAACACCTAAATATATAAAGCAAATATTGATGGACATAAAGGAAAACAATGACAGTAATACAGTAACAGTGGGAACTTTAACACCCCATTGACATCAATGCATAGATCATCCAGACAGAAAATCAATAAGGAAAAATGGCCTTAAATGACACATTAGATCAGATTGATTTAATTAATACTTTTAGAATATTTGATCCAAGAGCAGCAAAATATATTCTTTTTAAGTGAATATGAAACATTTTCTAGGATAGACTACACATTAGTATACAAAACAGGGCTCAATAAACTTAAAAGACTGAAATCATAAAAAGCATATTTTCTGACCACATGGTATGAAATCAGAAATCAATTTAAAAAATTGAAAAACCAACACATGGAGGCTAAATAACATGCTCTAAACAATAAATGTGTTAATAAGATCAAGGAAGAAATCTAGGTACCTTAAAACAAATGAAAATGAAAGCACAATGAGCTAAAATTTATGGAATATAGCCAATGCAGTTGTAAGAGGGAAAGCCACATCAATACAAACCTACCTCAAGAAACAAAAATCTCTAGTAAACAATCTAACCTTACAACTAAAGAAATCAGAAAAAGCATCAAACAAACCCCAAAGCGAGTAGAAGGAAGGAAATAATAAATATCAGAGTGGAAATAAAGTAGTCTTAAAAAAATTAATGAAACCAAGATTTGCTTCTGTAAAAAGATAAAATTGATAAACCTTTAGCCAGACTGAAGAAAAAGAGGACCCAAATTAATAAAATCACAAGTGAAAGTGACAACACCACAGAAATAAAAAGATTAAAAGAAAGTATCAGTTATTTGCAAGCAAATTAGACATTCTGTTTCTTTAAGAAACAGAATTTCTGAACAGATCTGTAAATATTAATGAATTTGAATCAGTAAAATTATAAACCAATCTCTCTGATGAACTTAGATGCAAAAATCCTTAACAAAATATTAGCAAACCGAATTCAGCAATACTTTAAAAAGATCATACAACATAATCAAGTGGAATTTATTCCTGAAACAAGGTTGATATACCACATAACTAATGTGATATACCACATAAACAAATTGAAGGTTAAAAATCAGATGATCACATCAACAGATACAGCAAAAGCATTTGATATATTCCAACATCTATTTAAAAACTCTCAGAAATGTGGGGATAGAGGAACCATACCTTAACATTATAAATGCCACATAAGATAAGCCCACAGCTAAATCATACTCCGCAAGTTTTCCCTCTAAAATCATGAATAAAATAAGGGTGCCCACTCTTTCACCATTTCTATTCAACAGTAGAGGCCCACTGCATGAAATTAGTGCATGGGGGAGGCCCCTTAGCCCAGCTTGTGCCCTGTCACAATCTGGGACCCCTTGGGGAAGGCTAATTGCGGGTTAAGCTCAATCCCTGCAGTCGAACATCTAGAACATCTAGCAGTCGGACATCACTCTCAAAACCTGGGACAGCTTGCCCTTAACTGCTCACCTGCCTGCTTGCTCACTGTGTATCATAGCGACCGGTCATTCTGGTTTTTCTGTCGTAATGGTCGCTTAGACATATGTATATAGAGCTTAGACATATGTATATAGATAGTATTGGAAACCCTAACCAGATCAATTAGTCAAGAAAAAATACAAAGCATCCAAGTTAGAAATGAAAAAGTTAAGCTGTCATTATTTGCAGATGATATGATGCTATGGAGAACCTTAAAGATTCCACCAAAAAACTATTTGAATAAATTAATTCAGTACAATAGCAGGATACAAGATTAATATTCAGAAACTGATTGTATTTTTATACACCATAATGAAATATAAGAGAAATTAAAAACACAATCCCATTTACAATTCTGTAAAAAAAAAAACAAAAAAAAACCCACAAACCAGGAGTAAATTTAACCAAGTAGATAAATGACCTGTAGTCAGAAAACTCTGACACCCAAGAAAGAAATAAAAGAAAAAGAATAGACAAATAAATGGAATTCTGTGCTCATGGAACATCATTAAAATGAACTTATTATTGCAAGCAATTTACAGATTCAGTGAAATCCCTATCAAAATTCCAATGGCATTTTAAACAAAACTAGAATAATCCTAAAATTATGTGAACCACAAAAGGCATCAAATAGCCAAAGCAATCTTGAGAAAGAACAAAGTTGGAGGTATTAAGCCACCTGATATGAAACTACTAGGTATACTATTTAATAATGCATATTTTTTCAATAGATGGAGTTACACATATGTTGATATTTATGCGATTTGATATGTATGCTATTTTGTTGTACTGACAGCAACCATCAAAACTTCATGTCAAATTTTCAAAAGGTGTTAACATCATAAGACAATTTTATGCTTATAAATGTCGAATTTGTGGCCAAAAAAAAGCATTTGTAGGATGTTTTAATTAATTACTTTATTTTGAAAAGTGCTGCTGAATACTTTTGGTAAACATGCTCCATCTCAAGATACTTGTGAACACTGGTTTAAATGCTTTAAAAGTGATGATTTCAATGTGAAAGACAAAGAACGTCCAGGTCAACTGAAAGTTTGAAGACCAAACACTAAAAGCATTATTGGGTGAGGATGCATGTCAAACTCAAAAACAACTTGCAGAAAGATTAAACATTGCTCAGCAAACAATTTTCGATTGTTTACAAGCAATGGGAAAGATTTTAAACGAGTGCCCCAAAAACTGAACAAAAGACAAATGTAAAACCAAAAAGACGTCAGTAAAATGTTGCTTCAACAAACAGCAGGAAAGAAAGTTTTTTGCATAGAATTGTGACTGGCAATGAAAAGTGGATTTCTTTTGAAAATCCCAAATGCACAAAATCATGGGTTGGTCCAGGTCAACCATCAACATCAACTGCAAGACCAAATCAATTTGGAAAGAAGACAATGCTCTGTGTTTGGTGGGATCAGGAAGGTGTGGTGTACTAAGAGCTTCTAAAACAAGGTGAAACCATTAATACTGACCACTACTGACAACAAATAATCGATTTGAACCACACTTTGATTGTAAAACGACCAGAATGAACCAGAAGAGAAGGCAAAGTAATTTTGCTTCATGATAACACACAATCACACACTTCAAAACTAGTTAAAGACACGTTAAAAGATCTTGCCTGGGTATGAACCCACCCGCAATATTCACCATAACTTGCTCCTTCAGATTACCCCTTGTTCTGATCCATGGCACACGCACTTTCTGAGCAGCACTTCAAAACATAAGAAGTGGAAAATTAGGTCTCCGAATGGTTTTCCTCAAAATAAGAAAGGTTCTATTGGGACAGTATCCACAAATTCCTGAAAGATGGGGGAAATGTGTAGCTAGGAATGGACATTATTTTGAATAAAGCACTTTTGATGTTTCTAATGAAATTATTGTGTTTTCTTTGATTACAAAATCCACATTATTAACCGATACACCTAATATACTACAAGGGTATATTAATGAAAACAGCATGGTACTAGCACAATGCTGAGACACACATAAATAGGACAGAATAGGAACACCAGAAATAAACCCAGGCATATATGTTCAATTAATCTATGACCAAGGAGGCAAGAATATACAATGGGATAAAGACAGTTTTCAATAAACAGTGCTGGGAAAAGTGACAGATAAATACAATATACACCGAGTGGCCAGATTTTATTTTTTATATATATAATCTGTATCTACACACACACACACACACAAGCACACACACTAAAGGCCCAGTCTATGAAAATTCATGCACTGGAGGAGGGGGTCCCTCAGCCCGGCCTGCTCCCTCTCACAGTCCAGGAGCCCTCAGGGGCAGGAGGTGACCCAGTGATCAAGAGAAGGCAACACCCAATCACATCTCTGCTGCTGCCACAGCTGGCAGCGCAAGCCTCGACCAGCCTGGTTACCTGTACCTGTGGCCAGCTCTGGGAGGCTAGGAGGCTGAGGGGATTGGGCGCCACCATCTTGTGGCTGTGGGTGCTGCCATCTTTGAGGGCAGGACAGTCAATTAGCATATTCCCTCCTTATTGGCTGTGGACGCCTCATCTTTGTGATGGTGTGAGGGTCAATTAGCATATTTCCTCTTTATTAGACAGGATATACATGCCTAAGTGACCAGTGCAACCAAATGGACAACAGAACAGGCTGTGTGGGGCAACCAAGCTGGCAGGGGGGTTAGTGAGGGGCAACCAAACAACTGAACAGCAGGCTGCATGGGATGACCAGGCTGGCAGGGGATGCAGTGAGGGGCAACCAGGCCAGTGAGGGGTGAGGGGGTGGAAGGCATTGGGGACAACTAGGCTGGCAGGAGCAGCAGTTGGAGGTGACCAGGCCAGCGTGAGGGGGTGGGGGGCAGTTAGGGGCAATTAGGCAGGCAGGTGGGCAGTTAGGAGCAGCGGTCCCGGATTGTGAGAGGGATGTCCCCTGAGGGGTCCTGGATTGAGAGGGTGCAGGATGGGTTGAGGGGGACACCCCCCACCCGTGCACGAATTTTGTGCACGAGCCTCTAGTATAATAATAATAATAATAAAATTAGAACACATTCTTATATCACCTATAAGAAAAAACTCAAAATCAATGGAAGACTTAAATGTAAGACCCACAACCTAAAAGAAAATATAGGCAGTAAACTATTTGACATCAATCTTAGCAATATATATTTTTTAATCTATTTCTCCTCAGGAAAGGGAAACAGATGGAATAAATAGAATTACATTAACCTAAAAAGCTTTTGCACAGCAAAGGAAACCATCAACAAAACGAAAAGACAAACCTATTGAATAGAAGAACATATCTGCTAATGGAAGAACACATCTGATGGCATGGTAGGAGTTAATAAATATCCAAAATTTATAAAGAGCTCAATATCAAAAACAAGTCTAATTAAGAAATGGGCAGAGGACCTGAACAGACACTTCTCCAAAGACATACAGATTGTCAATAGACATATGAAAAAGCTACTCAATGTCACTAGTCATCAAAGATATGCAAATTAAAAATGGAGTTATCAGCTCACACCTAGGCTATCTTCAATAAATCAACACACAAATGTTGGGTAAGGATGTGAAGAAAAGGGAACCCTTGTGCACTGTTAGCAGCATTGTAAATTGGTGCAGCCACTTTGAAAAACAGTATAAAAAGTCCTCACTAACATATGACACAGCAATACCATTGCTGGGTATTTATTCAAAGAAACCCAAAACACCTATTTAAAAAGATATACACCCCTACGTTCACTGCAGCATTATTAACAATAGCCAAGATACGAAAGCAACTCAAGTTTCCTTTGATAGATGAATGGCTCAAGATGTGGTACATATATATTAATGAAGTATTATTCAACCATAAAAAGAATGAGATCTTGCCATTTGCTACAACATAAGATAGAACTAGAGGGTATTATGCTAAGTCAAGTAAGTCAGATAAAAACAAATACCATATGATTTCACCTGTATTTGGAATCTAAAAAAATAAACAAAACAGAAACAAACTCATAGTTGCCAGATGGAAGGGGGGTTTGGAGGATGGGGGACAAAGGTGAAGGGATTAAGCAGCACAAATTGGCAATTACGTAGTCCAACTAAAACAAGAAATGTCATGTTTCTGCTCAACCAACAACTCCAGTGGCTTTCCATGTCATTGGAAATATAGATCAAAGTCCTTCACACTGCCTTATAAAACTACATGTGAACCTAAATCCCATTACCTTTCCTCATTCCTACTTCTTAGTGCTAACCAAGGACACTGATGTCCTTGCTTTCCCAATACCTTAGGCCCTGGGAAAATTCCTGTTCTGCCTGGACCATGTTACCCCACAGCCTCCAAATTTATCCATAAGGTTCTCTGACATCCGTTGGGTCTTTAATGAACTATAACACTATGAGATCTTCAATGGCTACCCAACTTAAAGCCCAAATTGCACCTTTCTCTCATATATTCCCAATCCTCTCTCCTGCTTTGTTTTCTATCCACATCAGTTATCACTATATAACATGCTATATTTTTCTTTATCATTTTCACTAGAATGAAGACCCAGAAGGTATTGTCCATTTTTGTCACTTTGTCCTTTGCTACACACACAACCCAAACAAGTACACTTGATCCATAGCACTCAGTAAATTTAAACAGAATGTATATTACTAGTGACATAAAATTAAGCTTATTTGCTTACCTCAATCATATTTTTTTCCAGCTCTTTGCGTTTGTTTTCTTCACCTGAAAGATTTTTCTTCTTGAGATCAAAGGCACTTTGAGATTTAGTATTAACTCGCTGAGCTTCTGCAAGAGCATCTTCTAAAGATCGGAGTACACCTCCAATTTCCTGTAATCAAATATATACAATTAAATCAAAATACTTAAAATTTGTTCATGTCATCATTTTCTTATGTGATTTGTACATAAATTACTTTCTAAAAGATTAGAATGACAATGCCCAGTGAATCCTAAATAACCATTGTATATAACTTAGTATTTGTTCAGGATATATTATGTATTCGTACATATATGTCTAACCTTATCTTTTCTTTTTTCCAACTCCTCTATTTCATGAGTAAGTGCTTTTATTTTTTTATCATTCTCAGACAATTCCTCTTGAAGCTTTAGAACTTTATCCTGCATTTCTTTTAAGTCCTCAGCTGAGCGCTCTTTGGTATCTTCAGCAAGCAAAAACTGATAAGCAATATATAAACGACTCAAATGTTCAATTTCCCTCATTACTTTTTGATACTCCAAGTAGGAAGATCTTTCCTGAAAGAGAAATCAGCAATAAAACATAATTCAGAATTCGTATTTTTAAACAAACTTGGAAAGAATAAAACTACAGCAACATGTATAAAATTTCCCATGACATAATAGAATTTTGTCTTAGACTAATTGATCATGGATTATAAATTTTAAAAAACTTGAAATAACATCAGAACTATGTCTTTTTAGATAACAAGTCTAGTGAATCCTATGTGGCCATTTCTTTTCATTCATAATCAGGCAGTTGGGATTAACACAGAAATGTGAATATAGATTCATAGACCGGGGTTCATAAGTCTATAAAAACAGCATATACAACTATCAATGATACAACATTAATATATTTTTCAATAGTCTAGTTATCCCTCTTTATTCACAAGGGATTGATTCTAGGACCCCCTGTGGATACCAAAATCTGCAGATACTCGAGTATATAAAACTGGAGGCCTGGTGCATGAAATTCTTGCAAGGGGTGGCGAAGGGGGGAATGAGAGGGGAGGTCCCCTCAGCCTCGCCTGCACCCTCTTGCAATTTGGGACCCCTCGGGGGTATCTGACTAGCAGTTGGTCATCCCTCTCGCAATCCAGGATGCTGCATACACCAGTGACCATGCTTTTCATACAGGTGAAAGGCATCTTGCTGTTGTATGGGCAGCCACATTTTTTTTTGCCCTGATTATAAAAAGTAGTACATAACATGATCCTTCTGAGGCAGTAGTACCATTTTCCCCATCTTATGGATGGAAAAATTGAAGGAGAGAAGTAATTGGCTTTGTCACACAGTTATAAGTGTCAGAATGGGGCTGACCACAAAATATGCAAGCCAGAGTCCATGCATGTCATCACTGCATCATCCTGTTTTTTTCAGTGTAAGAGTAGCATTGTCAGGTTTTAATTTTTAAATCTAAGAGACTGTTCCCAATATGTAGGGTAGGGTCCCTAGTTCTGGCCAGTGATCAGGGCCAATCTGTGGGGCAACAGTCCCGGCGATTGGGGGTCAGCTCCTGCATTGTCTGCCCTTGGTGGTCAGTGTGCGTCATAGCAACTGGTCTTTGGTCAACTTGTATATTAGGGTTTTACTATTTGGATGGCATAATATAAAGTACTTCTATTACCAAAATGCCTATCCAACATTCATTCATGTAACTATTCTAAGCACTTACACAACACTAAGCCTGATTACCCTAAGGACCATCTGGGGCACACAAAGTATTATCTAAGATCATCCCAAATCATTATGACTTAATAGATATAAAGTGCATGTTCTCTAGAGTGGAAGGCTGAGTATGGGTTACCAACTCTAATTCTTTATCTCATCCCAGAAAATAATCCCTAAAATGTAGTACATATTTCACCCCTATGTATATGATCTTGGATACGTCACCAACTGTTAGAGATCCTAGCTTGCTGTCCTCATATATATATATATTTATATATTACCTCTTTTAGTTTCTGAATGGTTGGAGTAATTTCTTCTTCAAGTATCTGAAAAATAAAGGAAAATAAAGATTTTCAATATGTAAACCATCATTGAAAATTTTTTTTAAAGGAGTAATACAGAAGATTAGAAAATTGAAACAAGTGGGGGGGGGTGGAGAATTTCCTCTTTAGAGCAGAGAAACTTTAAATGCAAAATGACTCTCTTCTCTAAAACTGTTTTATGTAAATTTAATTACCGTCTTAATTTCTTTCAGCTTAGCCTCCTTTTTTTCTATAGTTTTTTGGGCAGCTATTTTTTTGTATTCATACATCCTGGTTCCAGCTGCTTCTTCTATCATGGACAAAATCTAGAAAGACAATTGTATTGTTTTAAGAATCTAAGACAATAAATCTCATTAAAATTTACATTAGTTATATCATTTAAAGCCTTGACCACACTAAGAGCTTATCAAAATAATAGATCAAGTGGAGCATAAAAGTGCATAAAAATGTACATGTTAGTCATAACCCTCACATTCCAGAAACATTACTGGCTGTCACTCCAATTCTAACATCAAACCTTAAGCTATACCAGAGTACATTTCTTTTAAAATTGAAGCCAATAATTCCTCACTCCTCTTTTCCTTCAAATAGAAGTCTAAAAAAAATTAAAAGCTAACTCCATTCAGCTTTCATTATAGAAGTTTCTACTTAAAATTATCCAAGTAAGACTTTAGTCATTTTGTGCCTAGAAGGATGAAGCATGGTAGGACATCTGCATCCCAACCATGGCACATGCTTCAAGAACTTGGGCAAGTAATTTTCTCTGTGCCTCAGTTTCTTCATCGAGAGTACTGATAATATCTCAGAGCACTGCTAATATAATTCATGTGAAAGGCACTCTGAAAAAGGCAAATATCAATTATAATAGTATAAGAAATGCAATTTTTCCAGCACTCCATTTTCAGAAGCTTTTACTCAGGACCAATCCCTATTTCAAGGGGATTGTTCCTCTGGAACTCACTTGACTTCTATGTATTTGGCAGTTTTCAAATTAGAAGTTTTTCCTTAAGATGTATCTAAAGGAAATAAGCATACCCCATATTCAAACTAGAAAAATATTATCAATTATCAGTCTTATTAGTGCTTCTCAATAACTAATGAGCCTGTGTTCTCTAAAAAACATTCATTCCTACATACTAACTCTTCTCAAGGGGACGTCAAGAGAAAATATGCCTTAATGCCCTAAGTAATCCATTAAATGTAATGAATTAATTTGAGTGAACTCAAATATTTTTCTGTAGGATTTTTCTATAGGGCTTAACTCTGGTATGAAACACCAGTTGAGAAAAATTGCTTTATACACTCAAAATTTATTTTAATATTGGGCACACAAAACTCCTAGAAGGGAGTATAGATGGTTAGCTTCTTGACATCCTTGCCATCGTTATGTTAGAAGCTGCAAATATTACAGAGAAAACTTAATTGTTTGGTTCAATACCTTTCATTTCCCCAAATGCCTTGAAATTAGGAATTATAGTCATGGACCCTGGTATCCTAGAAGTTACTTACTCTACCAACAACAGTTATTAAGAGCACTGTATCTTAACAATGACTTTTTGGATTTGACACCAAAAGCAAGTGCAACAAAAGCAAAAATTAACAAGTGGGACTACATCAAACTAAATAAACAAACAAACAAAAACTTCTGCACAGCAAAGGGGACCATCAACAACATGAAAAGACAACCTACGGGAAAAAATACTTGTTAATTATGTACCTGATAAGGTGTTAATATTCAAATACATCAAAACTCAAAAGAAAAACACACAAATAAATCCAATTCAAAGATGGGCAGAAAATGTTCAAACATTTTCCCACAGAAGACAGATGGCCAATAAGTAGATGAAAAGGTGCTCAACATTTCTAATCATAAGAAAAATGCAAATCATAACCACAATAACATGTAATCTCATATATTTTAGGATGGCTATTATAAAAAAGACAAGAAATAAAAAGTACTAGCAAATACACGGAGAAAGGGAAAATCTTGTGCACTGTTCATGAGATTGTATACTGATATAATCACTGTGGAAAAACTTCCCAGTTTGGAAGTTTCCCAAAAATTAAAAATAGAACTACCAAATGACCCAGCAATTCCATTTTGGGGTATTTATGCAAAGAAAAAACACTAACTTGAAAAGATATTTGTACTTCCATGTTCAAGGCAGCATTTACAATAGCCAAGACATTGAAAACACTTAAGTGTCCACTGATAAATTGAACAATGAGGTATATAGGCATTCCTCACTGTATTGCACTTCATAGATGTTCTACTTCTTACAAATTGAAGGCAAGACCCTCCACCAGATGATTTGCTTTATTGCAGTGGTCTGGAACTAAACCCGTAATAACACTGAGGTATGCCTGTATATATGATGTAATTTATCAATTTAAAAAAAATGAAATTTTGCTATTTGTGACAACATGGAAGGACCTTGAGGGCATTATATTAAACAAAGTCAGTCAGAGAGAGAAAGACAAATATTGTATAATCTCACATATATTCTTTCTAAAAAACAAAAACAAAAACCAAACTAATAAAGAGAACAGATTGGTGGTTGTCAGAGGGAGGGGACTGGAGGTGGGGAAATATGTGGTCAAAAGGTATAAACTTCCAGTTATAACATTTATAAATCATGAGGATACAATGTATAGCATGGTGACTACAGTTAATACTGTATTTGAAAGTTGCTAAGACTAAATCTTAAAAGTTCTCATCACAAGGAAAAATTGTAACTGTGTGGTGATATTAAATATACTATAGTGATCATTTTGCAATATATACATATATATTGAATCATTATGTTGTACACCTGAAATTAACATGTCAATTATATTTCAATTAATAGTTTTAAAAAAATCTGTTTAACATTGTCTCACACCTTTTGTTATACATTCTCATTTAATCCTGGGGTTAGGATTAATTTATAAATTAAAAAACTAAGGCTCAGATGGTTATGTTATAAAATTAAAACAAAATATTGGGCAAATGCTGAAAAAAAAACTTTTTTTACTAATCATTCATACATAAAATGTTTTGAAGAATAATGGAAGAAAGCATATTAAAAATTGATTACCTAGAAAATTAAAACAATCTGTATTAATACTATTTTTATTGTCCATCAAGTAGTTCTCTTACCTCTGGAGGTTTCATATTCAATACTTTTGTGATTCGACCCTGTAAATAAAATGGTAAATTTACCATAATGATAAAAAATTAAAGGCATACATGTTTATTTGCCCTGAAGCTACTGTATCCTAATACATCAATCTTTTGGGAGTTCTTTTTTTCTATATCAGGAATGGGGAATATCCAGGCTGTGGGCTATTTAATATGCCCACGAAATCATTTGGCCCTGCCAAAGTATTAGAGGTGAGTTAAATGTTTGACCAAATATAGCAGGCTAATTTTTTTAAGGTGACAATTTTGTATGGCTTGGGAATAATGTTAATATCCAAATGGCCCTTAACAGAAAAAACGATCCCCACACCCATTCTTCATACAATAAAAGATGTTTCTTTTGAGACTTGAAGGTATCTTTTAATTCTAGAGTAATACAAATACAGAAGTTAATGACAGATACAAAGTTAACTCTGACCAGATTTCTGCAACAGGTAATACTACTGATGTAGAATTTGCCAATTAAAAAACAGGCATATCAATAAACTTTTAGCATAATTCTTAAATATTTCCTGGTCTTTTTGAAAGACAGCTCTCCAAAATAATTTCTAGAAATAGACTGCATACTTCTAGGCCAAGAGTAGGAAACTTTTTTCTACCAAGGGCATTTGGATATTGATAACAACATTTTCGGGCCATACAAAATTATCAACTTAATACTTAGTCTGTTATATTTAGTCAAACATTTAATTAATTCATCACTAATGCCTTGGCAGGGTCAGACCAAATGATTTCCAAGGCCTTATATAGCCTGCAGGCTGGATGTTCCCCATGGGTGTTTTAGGCCTTAAATAGAATAGTAAACTGTAAAATATTTTATTTCAAAGCTAAAATCACCAAAGTCATTCAGAGCAAAAAAAAAAAAAAAAAAAAAAAAAAAAAAACTCCCCACCTCCAAAACGGATATTTAACTCTAGAGAATATTACTTAAGATTTAGTTTCATTTGAAGTAAATTTTCAGTTTTGAGGCTGTGATGTATTGAGAATAATTTTATTTTAGTGTCATCAGGATCCTGCCATTGATCTTGCCTTAACTTTCTCAAAGGATAGCTGGATGGGTCAAGTGAGATAATATAAGGGCAAGATTAATATTAATTCTTATTTTCCATTTTGATAAGTCTATAGAAGAAAATTATTTAAAATTTAATATATATTTAAAATAAAATACTTATTCAATATTTTAAAAGGACATAATGAGACAACATTAAAAAATTTTTTAGAGTGAACATGTGTTGTTTTTCTAGTAAGTAACAAAGTAAATCAAGGAAAATTACTTCTAGATGTTCTTCAAAATTCAAATGTATACAACATGTTAGAACACATCAGTACAAATAACTTAAAACCCTATTTCTTAACAAGTGCCCAAACACCAACAGAATAAATAAAAAAAAAATGGAAAAGTTCAAAAAGAAGCGTGTTCCCTATTTTAATACTTAAAACAATAAAAATAAAAAAAGTCAAAACCATTGGGAAAGAGGTAAAAGGACCAAACAGAATACCTGCATGATGAGAAAATGAGGGTTGTTAACGTTAAGGCCAACAGAACAAAAGAGATCCTGTACTCTGGTATTGTTTGCATTTACTCCATTGATTAAATACTTATTTCTGCCACCAATGACCACCTAAAAAAAAAAAAGTACTTTTAAAGATACAAACACACACACCGTGAACTAAGATAATAAACTCCCAAATACATTATTATGCATTTGTTTGTTTCGTCCAACTGATAAACAAAACCAATCCTGAGCAAAACCACTCTGCAGGAAATGTGACATGGTCAAGAAAAATATGAGGTTGAGTCAGGACAATCGGTTTCTAATCCAGAGACTTTTACTAACAAGTCATGTAACCACTCACAACCTCCTAATGTCCCTACTCTGGTCTCTAAAGCCACTTCTTGCTTTGTTTCCAAAATGCTTTTATTCCTGATCATCCTCTTCCTGCAATTTTTTCCACTCAGAGTTTAACCCCTCTTCCTCTACCTTTTTGTTCCCAAAGAACAAAAGTCAGATATGAAAAAACTAAAGGTAAGCAGTTTGATATCAATCCTTATAAGATTCTAAAAGGGATTAATAACGATGTGATTTGTGAATACTTGCAAAAAAATATGGAGCTCCAGCATAGGTTCACTAAGAACTTATATCAGACACCAGTATGTCTATATTCTACAGTAGCACTTACATTGTCATTTTTTGGGCATGACTGAGTTACTCATATTTTGAGGTCCTTAAAGACAAGATCTGTTTCTCATTCTTAATTCTCCCTTTTATTTCCCAGTGCATTCAAGAATCCCCAGCATACATCAAGCACTTAATCAATACTGAATAAAGTTAATTTTTATTTCCCTGACAGGATTATTAGACTGATAGAACATATATACTTGAATCACAGACCTAGTACATCTATATTAGTAATTTAATAAAGTCTTTGCAACAAAAATTTTTAAGATATAGACATATAGACCACACGAAGACAGGGATCTTAGATAGATTAGTAGGAGACTTACTGAAAATTCCTAAAGAGTGATTATTTGGTGTATGCTTAATGACACAGAACAGGATTCTGTCACATCATATAGTCAATGCTTTTTTTGTTTTTAAACCAGAGGTTTCATTAAAGCAGAGAGGGATGTCTATAAATTACATATACTAAGGTGGAGAATAACTGGAAATTAGGACTTTTAAAAATAAAACTTTGACAAACTAAAAGCATTGACTATTAAGAAAAAAGATTTTAAAGGGAAAGTATAAGGTCCTGAATCAGTTTCACAAACCTGCTTGCATATAGAAATAGCAATAACATAGCACACATGAAAAAAATTAGTGCAATTTTAAGTAAATCAGATATGAATTCATAAGGTATTATTAACTCATACCTTATGGGTCATAACATTTAGACATATAGAAACTTAAATATTGAAATATGGAATAAATTAGCCAAAATTGGTTTGGCTCAGTGGATAGAACGTCGGCCTGTGGACTGAAAGGTCCCGGGTTCGATTCCGGCCAAGGGCATGTACCTAGGTTGTGGGCGCATCCCCAGTGCGGGGTGTGCAAGAGGCAGCTGGTCGATGATTCTCTCTTATCAATGTTTCTAACTCTCTATCCCTCTCTCTTCCTCTCTGTAAAAAATCAATAAAATATATTTTTAAAAAAAAGAAATATGGAATAAATTAGATTTACTCTTTGTACCCTCAATAGAAGATTAATATATGAAACTTTAAGACAGCACTTACGCTCAAATTATAGAAAGAAAGCTTCTAGATGGACCTGTCCAAAACCAGAATGGGTTACCATAGAAGACAGTAAATTCTCAAGTACTGTTATGAGTTCCAGCAAAGAGGATCCATGTTTCAAGACTGAAGCATGGCTGAGTGCTTATATTAATAATAATAGATGACTTTTCAAATTCCTTTCAATCCTCATGGTAAAAGGGTAAGATTTGCATGGTCAAATTTTAACATAAGGAGGATATTTTTAAGAAGTCTAGTCAGTATTTGATGCATAAATTTCTCACATAAAACACTCCTCTCCCCAACAAAGTCATTATCACCAAAAAACAGCAAACATGCAAGTTCTAAGGTATCCAGATATTTATTAGCCACTCACCTGCCTTGTTACCGTAATTTCATCATGAACTTCAAATCCTAAAGGGCTTTGCTTTTTATCAGAATTGTCAAAGGTGATTGAGACTGAGGCTTTAGTAATACCAGCCTGCCCATTTTTGTAAACTAAATCTTGTAAATTAGAAGCCCGAACCTAAAATAAATAAATAAAAAGTTTATCAATTACAAAACCCCATATTGCACAAAATGGCACTAAAAATGGGTTTCTTGACATTTGGAAAACCACCCATGTAGTATTATCCATCAAGTAATCAAGGACAGGCAACGGGGACAGGAAAATACAACAAACTGAATGAATGCATCTTTCCATAGAATTTTTGAATCTTAAATTGAATTGTTTTCTACTCATTTCTTAACAAAAGTTCATATAAAGGTATTCAAGGTATACAGATCTAAGAATTTCAGTATTCACCCAATCCCATGAGCAGATCCTGAAAAGGCATTTTAACTTTGGGGGTGTGGTAGGGGGCACAGAATACAGATTCTGGAATGAGAATGACTGCCTTGAAGTAAGAATACCCGAGTTTGTGTGTTGCTACAAATAACATAAGATGAACCTTTCGCAACCCATCTAAGTTTCTGGTTTCTCTCCTTAAAAATTGAATAATCATCCCTACCTTTAAAGGGCTGCAGTGAGAGATAATTCACATAAAGTAAAAAATGCAAATATTGGCAACAGTTTCCAAGTTCAATGAGGATTTCCCCAAGCTTAAGTTCACAAACATCACAAAGTTTACACTTGACCTGAGACAGATTGGAGATGCCCAGCAAAAAACAAATGGAGTCCAAGATGTTGGATTTTCCACTGCCATTTAAACCAGTGATAGCATTGAAGAGGGGATCAAAACCATTGACTTCAGTCCTCTGAGCGTAGGACTTGAATCCTTCGAGAATGATTGACTTGATGTGCATTTTCACAACCGACTTGAACAGGTAAACCTTTGCTAGGAATCAAATGGGCCACAGAGGAAGTTCTGTACAAACAGAAATAACAACACATACATGGGATGAAAACCTGGAACCATACATATGTGGCACGTACAAGACTAAAAGAGAGTGACAGCTCAACTGAAATAAAACAGTAACCTGCCAACCCAAGCTACTTCCTCTGATGCAAAGCTCTCTTTCTCCAACTTAAAAACATGCAGGCGTTAGTCCTTACTTGGAGATTGATTAAGCCATTAATTCAACCTGGAAGTCAACTACTTGTCCAGGCTTATCTTCCACCGTTATAATACAGATCATTTCCCATGCCATTCATTCCCTTTGCCCAGACTGTCCTCGCCCACCCACGTCTCTGCCCACATGTCACCTTACCACAGGTCCTCCCTGGCGTCTCTATCTAAATCCGCTTTGTAGCACCTCAACCCATGCCCCTAACTCTGCTTTCTTTTTCATTCACTGAACTTAAAGGCGACACTAAACAGTATTTATCTATTCATCTATCCAACATATCAGCACGGATCTTTGCCTCGTATCCCCGGGGAGCTCCAACATGCCTGAATGCAGGCGAGTGGGTTGCATCAATAAATATTTATTAAACACAAGAATCCCACATATTCTCCAGCCTCTTGCTTCCACTCAGGCTGTCCCCTTGCCTCGCCAGGCCTGTCAACACTCCCCCGCCCTACTCCAAGGCTGGATAGGAACTGGCCATTCTGCCAGGAGCCCTTTCGTCCTAATTTTAGCCTGAAGTCCCTTCCTGCCGCTCTCCCCGCGCCCGGCCCCGCGGCCCCCACCTGCTGCAGGGATGCCAGGCTAGGCCCCGCCGGCCGCGCGCCCGCCCGCCCGCCCGCCCGCCTCGCAGCTGGGCCGGCCGCCCGCGCTCGCTCGAGGCCCCCACACGCTCTTCCTGCTCACCAGGGCGGAGAGCGGGCCAACCTGGCCCCACTTCGGGCACCTAGAGTCCGGCTCCCACCATGGCAGAGGCAGCCCTCGCTCCGGGTTCCGCGTCCCCGCCCGGAAATATTTATACCTTTGAATTTCGGCGCGAGCAAAGGACCCCGCCTCCTCCGCTCAGTCCATTGGCTGATGCCTAGGAGATGCCTGACTTGGAGGGTTCCACTTTTCCCTCCCACCGAACAATCAGAGTGACTGGGAAATAGGGAAAGGGGTGGCGACCCTGTCAGCCCCGGGGACGCGATGGTTCGGGCCTGCGGGCTAAAGGAGCGGCAGTCATAGGTGGAGGCCGGCGTCAGGCAAACGTCGGGCAGCCCCCGCCTCAGGCTCCCGGCCTCGCGCTCCGCTGGGCCCGCCCCGCCTCGGGCACTGCCCCGGCCGCCGGCCGCGTCCCGGAGGCCCCGCCCCCTCCCGGATTTGGCGGGCTGGGCGGGCTCGGCGGTGCCTACAGCTCCCGCCTCCGAGCGGCGGGGACGGGAGGCTGGAACCCACCGGGTCGGGTCCGATTCCTCAGAACCGGAAGCTGAACTTTGGGGCGGAGAAGGCGCCGGTCCCTGGCTCTGCCCCTGGTCGACCCCGGGTCCTGTTGGCCTTTTCTTCTGGAGTTTCCGGTCCAACGGGACGATTCCATTCCACCGGCCACCGGCCACCGCACTGAGCCCGCAGGAGAGACTGTGTGGGCGGGCAGTGGGTGCCAAGCTGCCAAATCATAAGCGAAGGCAAACTAACAGCTCAGAGAATTCCTTTTGGAAACATGCTTCCCACAGCTAATATTCTTTGAGCTCCCGGTTCCCAGGGTATTTTAAAAGCTGCTCTCCCCGTAGCCACCGTTGGAAATGGGTGATGCTGTGCTCATTTTACACAGGAGCAAACTGGGGCACGGAGTTAGGTACCTGTCAGAGCGTGCGCTCTTAAATATTTATTTCTTTTATATATATATAATTGACTTTTAACAGGAAGTGAGAGGGATAGAGAGCTAAAAACATCGCTGAGAAAGAAACATCGATGATCAGCTGCCCCCTGCACACTTCCCACCGGGGATGTGCCCGCAACCAAGGTGCATGCCCTTGACCAGATTGGAACCTGGGACTTTTCAGTCTGCAGGCCGCTGCACTATCCCTGAGCCAAACTGGTTTCGGCTTAAATACTTACTTCATAGTTCCCCCTCCATTCCAGGAAATCCAGTGCCACTAGTACCGATGTGTGTCCTTTTGTCCTTTAAGAAACAACAGGGTCCCCATCCCCCCGTCCTGTGGCTCTGGTTGAGTGTGGACCTATGAACCAGGAGGTCACGGTTTGATTCCCATCAGGGCACATGCCGGGATTGCAGCTCCCAGGAAGCCCATGCTTGTTTCTCAGCATTGATGTTTCCATCTCCCCTCCTGTCTCTGAAGTTGATTAAAAAAATACAAACTGGCCCGTTTACCTAGAGTGAGGCACATTGATACCAGTAAGTTATGTGGGCGAAAAGGGACCCCAGGCTAACCTAACTCAGGGAAGGCCCTCGTGGAGGCCTTGCAAACTCAGAGACCTAAAGTCACCCCAAAGGATGGTCTGATATTAACACCTTTCAGTAAAAAGCAGTTGGTAGTCAAGTCCCAGGCCAGTATCTTCCCTGACAAAATCAACTTAGTTCTTGACTGAGCCTATTGTCTTTGTATCTAAGATAACCTACCTGTGGAAGGTCAGGGTAACCTGTAACTTCCCTTTTTCTGGACCCCTCAGGGCAGAGTCCACAGATTCCCTCATTGTTATTGCTCCCTGTGAATTGTAACTATCCTGCACCTACCCATGTAAAAGAAGCACTGTGTCTATTATATCATTTTTCTTTTTATCCAATCCCAGAGGTCTCCCAGCAACCCTTTTGCTTTCTCCCCCCTTCCTATTCTAACTATAGATTTCATGTAACCTACTTAAGTCTCCACCTTTAGTGGTAATTTATAAAAACAACCATTCTCCCGAGCATTATCCCAAAAAGTTGAGATTCTGCTTCCCAGCAATTGTCCAGTTTGGCTCAAATAAACCCACAAAAATTCTTTAAAGGTTGTAATGTTTTCTTATGTTAACACTTAGGAAGAGCTTGGTTTGAGAGAGCGCTGTGGAGCTATATCCTAAGAAATAGGAAGAAGGTGAGGAGAGTATATTTTAGGCCATCCATGGCGAATTCCTTTGTGGCTTGGGAATGGCTTTGCAGTATTTGACATTAGTCTTACATACACTACCAAATTCTCTGAGAATAAAAGAATGTGTGTGTGTGTGTGTGTGTGTGTGTGTGTGTGTGTGTATCTGGAGGTCAGTGGAGTTAAGAATTCATTTATTTACTCTTATATCTCATCTACACCTGTAATGTCAACAATTACGGCCCTAAAACCAATTTAGTTAAGCAGTTATTTTTGTTGACCTTAATTCCTGCATCCCTTTCACTCCATAGCTATTATTCACTTGTATTGATTCTATTTAATCTTAATGTATTTATTTTCAATTGTACCCCTCATTTCATCACTGTGAATAAAGAATCTTAATTTGCCAACAAACTGCAATTGAATTTTTTTAGGTTGTGAAATAATTCTTATTGAGTGAAAATGTAAGTGTAAGACAGATATAAGCTTTTGCACTTGTTTAATAGATTAATAACTAGCTGATATATTTAAGATAAAAGGAACAAACAAATGTATACAAATGCACTTTTGCCAAATAAAGGCTTCTGGGTAGTTACAAGAATATACACATCTAACTAACTCCAACTAAAAGTATTTATTAAAATGAAAATTGCTTATAAAGGGAGAGATCTGTATCAATGTTAGTGCATACCAGAAATACTAAGGAACTGTTAGTACAGATGGCTTGAAGAAATCACTAATGGGTGAAGTATAAGTCTGCCTCCTGAGATCACAGGAAAGGGGGAAGACCAAAGCACTGATATGCGCCCCCTCCCCCCCCCCCCCCTTAATTTGGAGAGGAAAGAACTGTTAAGTAAAGGTAGTCTATCCTATATGTTTATAAATAGAGCACTATTCTTTTATCACCATGAATCAAAAGCTTTTGAAAGCTTCAACTGTGGCAGGCCAGAGGAATCTTGTCCTTGTAAAGTCTAGAGGCCCGGTGTATGAAATTCATGCATGGGGTGGGTGGTGTCCCTCAGTCCAGCCTGCACTGTCTCTAATCTGGGACCCCTCAAGGAATCAGACCTATTCGGGCAGTTGGGCATCCCTCTCACAATCCTGGACTGCTGGCTCCCAACTGCTCGCCTGCCTCATTGCCCCTAACCACTTCTGCCTGCCAGCCTGATCACCCCCTAACCACGCCCCTGCCAGCCTGATTGATGCCTAATTGCTTTCCTGCTGGCCTGATTGCCCCTAACTGCCCTCCCCTGCCAGCCTGGTTGCCCTTAACTATCCTCTCCTGCAAGCCTGGTCCCACCCAACTGCCCTCTCCTGCAGTCCTGGGTACCCCCAGCTATCTTCCTCTGCAGGCCTGATCATCCCCAACTGCCCTCCCTTATAGACCTGGTCCCTCCCAACTACCCTCCCCTACTGGCCATTTCGTGGTGGCCATCTTGTGTCCCCTTGGAGATGGCCATCTTTTACTACAAGGGGGTGGCCATCTTGTGTGTTGGAGTGATGGTCAATTTGCATATTAGCCTTTTATTAGATAGGAGGATACTATTAAAGTTATAAAGTGGAACCTAGGAAAATATTTGGTCTCCTCCAGGCATTGGGAGGGGTCCTCTTTCCCAGAAGCACTTTCTGAACTTTGGAGCCCTAAAGCAGCTTTTTAGGGTCCTGGGTGAATCTTCACTTCTGGAACTTACGGTTGACCAGTCATTCCGGTTGTTTTGCTGTTCAGTTGGTGGGATTTTATTATATAGGGTTTTGTGTCTTTAATCAAGTTAAATATCTTTATTTTATCTTCTCTTTCAGATTCTTTTTTTCAAGCTTTTAAGTTCCTAACTCAAAAGATATAAATGCTGTTTACAACATTTGCTGAATCTTTACTCATAGCGATTTATTTCC